GTCTGCAATATCGTACAAAATGCACATCGGTTGAAATCACCAATGCCGGCAATGGAAACAATTTTAACGCTCATGCAATTTATCAGAAATATCGTCTTTTACACTGCACTGATCAACAGGGGTTCGTTACAAATGTCTGAAATACACATATTCTATAGACCTACTGACACATATGTTACAGACCTACTGATATGAGTCACAGCACACAGAAACATTTCAGACATTTGTAACAAACCTGTGCTCCGTCGCAAGATCACTCACTTCAAACGCTATTAGTTTCACGCGTCACCCATCCACGGTTCCTCAGTTTTTGACGACATATCAAATAACGAGGCTGTTATAGAATCTACCGACTGTTGTCAGGTTCCCATACAATCAACAAATACATTCACGCCTGGATTCTTCACAAAATGTGCAAAGAGAAAAGTTCGAATTAACTTCCAAAAATAAGTCCCTCGTGAAGGGCAAGGTCGGATTTATGGTGTTCACTGTATTTGTCTATACGCGAAATTTGTTCCGGGGAAAAATCGAAACAATTTCAAATCTAAATTTCAGCTCAGAGACCTATTGATAAAATTAATACACCCTATAGACATATCATACGCAATTGTATTGATACTGAATTGTGGAATAAAATTGAAGTGTTAGTTAAAATTTCAAAGTAATACTTTGTTTGCCAATCCGCACGCGACAATACGCTGTTCAAACTATTGAACGAAATTGTGTGGACTGTCAATAACGGCGGGCATTTTTAATTTAAAATATAAATTATAAGTTAAAAAAGAACATAAGAGGCAGAGAAAACGTAAATATAAGTATTGAACTGTTTTTGTATGGAATTTATTATCTATTTGAATGACACAGCTTTGCAAGCAAACAACATAATGCGCGCTAGCTTAAGTATACCAGTTTTATTGTTAATACTATTTTCTTGTTTTTATATATCTGCATATCTTTGTCTTTAATTTTGTGAAAATTTTGCATGCTATTATCTAATTAGAAGTAGCATTAAGCATACATCAAGTTTATTATCAATATGACATTTTTAGAATCAAAATACAATTAATGCTATACACTATACACTATCATAATTCATTTTCAAAATGACATTCGCCGGTGACATTATCAGTCATTTTGTTAGGATACCCTCATCACCCAACCTTGAGCTATTCAAGGGGTCCACTACGGTTATCAATAGTAATGACTAATAACCATATATGCAGTTATTGTTAATTGTATGTTATGTTAATTGAAATGGGGGCCGAATATTGACCCCACCTTTCTTACCTTTTATAATACTTCAGATTAGGTATTTACTAATGTTCTGGCATGTGTGTCATGATCCCATTATTATTGAAATAAGAAATAACAATATTGGCTATCATAAGGGATTTGTTGATGATTTTTTTTTTATATATATAGAAATACATAAGCTTTCTTTCTTGTGTGTGGTTGAAAAAGATAAAAACTAAAACCAAAACAATATGCGAATATATTTTCTTTTCTATGTTTGTATGTAAACAGCATTCATTGTAACATCTGTATCCCATATCAGTTTACATCAAAAAACGTTTTTTAGACTTTACACTATTTTCACGTTAATAACAACTTCAGACAATGAAAAATGTATAAAAAAAAATAGTTAAAAAATCTTAAACATTTTAGTGAGTAATATTGCTATTAGTGTGCATTATGTGTTTATCAATTGTTATTGTTATTATGTTTATGAATTTTATTTTCGTCATTAATGTAATTTGTTTACATTAATTCGACGTTTGGTATGACGTCATTACTTTTGTTGTTACAGATATAATCGTGCCTGTACATTATCAAGTCACACAGAACTAAACAGTTTGCACGTGATGAGTTTTGGAAGACTGTTAAACCGCTTATGTCGAAATGTTTGTTTCAGTTCATGTATCTATCCATACCATTCTTTCGACAGGCTAATTACGATTTTGCATATTCCATACAAACACAAAGGACTATTGTGGTCAAGAGATTATCCTCACAGAAATACTCTTGGGTGTTTGGAGCCTCCATAGCGTTACCCGTACCAAGAGAAGGATTGCGGTGGGAGACGTGTACGTTACCATACGGTAATACTTTATGAATATTTTTCTTGTATTTTGGCATCAAATGAGCATGAATACTAAATCGGTGTAATAGCCGCGTGCTGCAGTATTTTCATACTTCGTGTTTTAAGTGAATTTTAAGCGAGATGGGGTGTTATTGCGTTACACATTATTTCAGAGTCAGCAATAATCAATATTCACTAATGACCTACAACAGGTGAGATGGAATTATTCAATTATTTAATTTTCAGACATCATCAAACATGTTGTATCCCAGTGTCCTAATGCTCATTTACAACAATCGTCTAGTCTTTTTCCCAATTGCCCTTACTCCCTTTCTCCTTCAGCATTACAAGCCAGAAAAGTTGCTGTGGCGTAAATTATGAACCATTTACACATATATTTAAACAAGACTGGCCATGTCTGTGATATACATATATATATTATTAGAAGCAAAACTACATAGGCTGTTTTCTAAATAATAACTCGCGTTGCTGGTTTTGTAATTGTTGACTACTTTTTGTATATTTTGTTTGTTCTTTTGTTGTTGTTGTTGTTGTTGTTGTTGTTGTTGCTGTTATGTCAACTTTTTTTCAAAACTTGTATTTACTAAAATTGTGTTAACACTTTGCAACTATACAGAAAATAGTCATCTTATATGGCAATTTCGTTACAGGATGGAGTAATAATTCGACAACATATTCAACAGAAAACAAAGGTACGTTTCTACTGTGCATGTCATCGCACATAGGGATACATATTTTAAAGAGTTATTGTAAACCTCAATTGTATATGGATTATGAAAAGTAACTAAATCCGTTTGCATACACTTAAAGATATTCATAATACTATCATATTGTTGTAACATATAGTTAGGGCCACAGGTTGCTATGTATTATATCAAATCTATTGACCGAAGATTATAAAAGAATGTACACAACACGAGATGCACAATGACAACCTTAACCACTCAGTGTTTTTCGTTTATGATAGAAATAATTGTTTCGTTATGATGTTAAATAATATGCTGTTAAGTGTAAATATTTGAAGAAATATCAAGAAAGTATTATGTATTTTATCGAAATAGCACTTGTTATCGCTGAGAGTTTCTGTAACGAGTGACTATTTTCGACTGGTATTATATAACACATATATGTTTCGTAACGTACAAACATGGGTTAATCATTACCTCCTTATATGATATCATCAATCACAGACTCATTATTTTCAATATATTTACACAAATATTATAATTATACAACTAGGTTATAAAAAACTACTGCAAAACAAATGGGAGTAAAATGTTTTTTAATCGTTCTGGTTGTTTAAAAAAAAGATATAAAATGTTTTTTATCACAGCTATAATCATATGAGTAAATAGTTTCAACTCATAGATACTGTTTAGCTACGAGGATCCTTAATCAAACATCATAGTATATCGATAATACCTGGTTCATCATGTATTGTATCATGTTCGATTGTTCCATATTTTCTCCGGATCATAAGGGGTTTTTTTTGTAAGAAGCTTTACAGGTGGATGTATCCCGCGAGGACAGTGTGGCCCGTATAGTTCTTAAGTCCTTGCTTTCAAGGTCAGGGTCAAAACTATTGCTAAACTGAAAAAACACTGTAAGGCTTGTTTTTGGCAAAATCGTCTGTAGGACTGAATGTTTTAAAGATGGATGGGTGTTTCAAAACTGGACGGTGTTGGATACAACTAAGTCAAGGTCAAAATATCGCCTAACTTGTGTCCGAGTCATACTTTCAGAATGTCTTAATATCTTATGACGATTTATCTCATATAAACAATGAGTTTCAACGGCTGTATCAGAACATAATTGATAAAACAAAGATCATCACTAGAAAATAAATGTGTCACGGTAGATGAAATATTTTGCCTTGCAACACTCTGTATGTACCGTACTAAAAGAGCTGTTTCATCCAGCAGTGACATGTACTAGCCAATCTAGCTCATTTTCAAGTGTTTGTGGTTTTAAGATAGCATGTACTCTTATCAAACGTGTGACCAATTCTGTCCAAGGACACACTATCCGATTTAGATGCACACTGTTCCAAATACCCTTTTCTACAAATTGCATATTTAGCCAAGAAGACAAATACGCCCCAAGACGTTGGCCACTCCAACGGATGTCCGGAACCCCCACAGACTCCTGATTGAGTGATGTAATTGGAATGAATCTTTCCTTCACTTCATTTGGCATTCCTTGAACGGATTCGGTGTTCTTTGATTGGGTTATGTATTCTTTGACTGAATGAGGTGTTCCTTGAACTCTTTGAGCTGATGGGGATGCATCTTGACCGAATGAGTCGCTATTTTGAGGGAATCAGCTATATGAAAACCACAAACGACTCATCCGCTTCAAGACAGTTTAACGCTCGGTACAATATAGTACCTCTTGCTTTTATACATTTTTCAGATAGACTTCTGGGACTTCTAGTTTTAGCAGGTCTAGTTATTCCACTGATTATGATAGGAGTTTACATCTGGTATGTACGTTGCAAATACTGATTTCATTTTTGTGTGTCTCAAAAATGTTTGTATGGTGAATCTTCTATACTATATGATCTTTCCATGTCGCCAAAATCCATCGATGTTGAATTGCCTTTTAAAATAACGTCTAATTTTGATACAGTTGTAAATAAAAATCATGATTCATAACTTCATACTCTTCATTGAAAAAAATATAATTATTGCGCAATAATTGGTTTATTTACATTGATATTTTTATTTTTCAACTTAAAAACCTGATTTATTATCTCCTTTTATTCAGGAAAAAATATCGCCACTATTGTAACGCGTATGACATTGAACTCCCTGAAATTGAGAATGTAAGTAAACGTAAATATCTTAAGTCAAGTAATATTAAACCTTTTAATATATTTGATATCACGCAGGGCGATCTTTACATGTACAATGAATGCGATGTAATGAAATTTCTTTGCAAATTAATTGCTTACAAAAGAAAATTTATGAAGGTTCTAACTAGGAATGCTAATGTTATGAATCATATGATGACACTTGTTGCGTTCGACACGTCTAGTTATTGATATAATTTATTTTGATTTTGGGATGTGTAATATGTTGTTTATCTTGTCATTTGAAAAGGTAATTTTGAAGAAAAAAAGTTTTTGAAAAATCATATTAGCAAAACAATTGATATGCAGGAGGATTATGGTTTGCGTACAACTCATTTGACCTTAAAACATCAACCAATCGGCGATGAGCCTTCTGACCAGCACGAAAAAGATAACTCGGAAACTAAGGAGATCGGAAATAGCGAATATAGTCGTCTTCATCCTGATGACATCGAAGGTAGAGATGTGCTGTCTAAAAAAGAGTCAAGTACCTTTATGGGCCTCGACATCGACAAAGATAACGTGGACGGTGAGGTAATATTGATACAACTAACAAATACATGTATGCACCCACTAATGAGATATGTCTATTGTAATACGTTTAAAAGTACTGGTGACGAGATTGATGGAATATCAAATAACGAGAACAAGTTTTAAATTATTATGATGACTATGCGTTGATGAGAACCAATATCAACTCTGTATGACGACTTTTCTTTTGCAAGGCAGACTTTTGTTTTAATTTATAGATAACATGTCGGGAAAAATATGACAAAGGAGAGGAAAGGGGTCAAAAGGAGATAAATCACTTAAATGAACACGTAAAACATCTTTCCGAATGGACTGTTTGTCAAATCCAGGAAGGTGAGAGTAATACAAACAATCTGTCGAATTACGAAGATGTTATACCCGGGGAAACGCCTCGAGCTGCTCCAAGTACACCTCGCATGAGAGAAGGCAAAACCAATAAACTCCGCAGAACAACTGATGACTTTGAACGGCTAGATCTTAAGTCTGTAAGTGTCATATTTCAAAACCCGAAATAAGTAATATTAACTATTTTGATCTAATAGATTTCGATTGCCTTGAAATTATTCATTCAACGTCCGTGAGTGTCATATTTCAATATGTTAAAACGGGGTCATAACAATTATTCAGCTGGTGACCTTTTCGTCTCTGTTCATTCATTTACCTTCCCTCTTAACCAAGATAGATTATTTGGTTTTCCTTACTTTCCAGTTGTCCTTCCTTTCAAACACTTTCGAGTTGTTTAAGTCCATAATGTAGTTGTGCGTGTTGTCATGGTCTGTTATGGCTAATTTATTTATTGTTTCCCCTATACCTTTAATGTATTTCTAGTGTAGAGTTGCTGTTTCTTTGTTTCAACGCCTTTCTGATGTTCTGTTAGGCATGTCCCAAATTTCCGGCAAGTTTCTCTGTTGTATGTCATCTTTATGACCCCATTTGGTGAAGACTTGCTGTTTTATGGTTTCCACGCCTTTCTGATGTTGTTAAGCGTGTCCCAAATTTCTGGCCATTTTCTCTAATGGATGTCATCTGTATGATCCCATTTAGTGTAGACTTGCTGTTTCATGGTTTCAAGTTTTCCGGATGTTCGGTTAGGCGTGTCCCAAATTTCCACTCAGTGGCGGATTGGTGCCCTGCCCCCATGCCTGCAGTGTTAGAGTGCGAATTGGCGAAATGTTTATATGATTTCTAATGGCTGACTTTACTGATTCGGCACACTGTGGCTTAGTGAGTTGTTTTCAGTGGTTGAAAGTTGAGACACCGGCCATTTAACTCTTTGCTTGATAAAGGAAATACGTTTTTAATTCTTCTATGTGTTCAAACCAAACTTAGCATTTATTTTATACTAAACAAATAATTCGTATTCCTAATGATGATTTAATTGATTTCCATTACCTGGACAATCTTCAGTCTAAAGTCCGTAAGTGTCATATTTCATAATTAGAAATAAGTAACATTAAATCTTTTGATTCAATTGATATAAATTGCAGGAAGACTCTTCACAGTCATTATTTTCAAGGTATTACCTAATAAAAATTTTGTCAGACGTAGCTGTTCACGTAGAAATGTATATAATAGGTCAAACTCCGGTTTATATATTGTGTTAAGCATTTTAGATACTTAATATGTCCGACGTTCTCTTTTTTGTAATGATTGCATAATTGTGAATACTAATGTTTAATGTGCATCATTTGCATATAAGTTTGTTGATTTCAGAATACCAATTATTGAAACAAAATAACTGTTTAACAAGTAATATTCAGAAAACGTTTATGCAGATGAAGATGACTCATGTGTGCTTAACACGTCAACCAAGCGACGATATCCCTGCTGACCAGTGGGGAACTGAGAAATTTGAAACTGGGGAGATTGATGGAAATACCGGATATAGCCGTCTACATCATGTTTACACTGCCATATCGGTAGACAATGCGACGGTGTCTGACCAAGAGCCATGTCCCATTGTGGGCTTCGACAGAGATATAAAATGCCTGTCAAGTGAGGTAATATTAATAAAACTATAAAATGCAAATTATTTATGTATGCATAATGTAATGAGATCGTTATTATGTTGTTAAGGTAATTAATACTGGTATAAATAAAGTTCTGGTATTATTTACCTTAACACATCATATATTTTTTAATGCCGAAATAGCAGAGCATTAATTGTGTTTCGAACCAAATGTTTGAAGTTAACAACCTTCACCTGTTAAAATACGTATGTGCTTCGTCCAGTGCCTTAATGATAACATAAGGTGGTTAACGTGTGCATTACCTTACACATAGATATCAAGATAACGTCAAGATCTACCGTTTGAGTTAGACTTGTGTAATGTACATGCGTTCAATCACAAGCATTGTTGTCGCTTACAACACAAAGCCATTTGATTTGAAGCCTAACAGAACGTATTTTGGCAACACCTAATGAAAATAATTTTAACTTACAAAATAATGCAATGAAGGATGACAAATGTACATAACGTAATCTAAACAAAGAATAGGCAAGAAAATATCTTTAATTATTTTTATAAATAAAGATATTAATATTTGGCGTATGAATGTGAACAGGGTTGTATTTTTCATGATTAAGATATATCATAGCGAAAAATATTTTAATAATTAATATGATAATTTCTAATGCTATTTTGGATAACTTTATTTATATATTGAATTAAGGGAATATATTAAGCACGGAGAACAAAGCAATGGGAAGGATATCAATAAAAAAAAAAAAAAGGTGTCCAAAATCTTTCTGCACAGAATGCTGTACAGGACAATGGTCAGGAACAGAAACAAAACAATCAAAGAAATAATGTGTCGCACTATGTACTGACTATTCCCGGGGACACGCATCGGGCTGTTCGTGGCACACCTGGTAAACAATCTGTCGAAGACTATCGACACCACAGTGCAACGGATGAATTTGGACTCTCCGGTCTTGAAACCGTTAGTGTTCTGGTATATCTGACGTAAAAACATAAAACCTTGCAATTTAATTGATATCAATATTACACTGAACAACATTTCATATACAATATTAGCAAAGTCAAATGAAATGTCCATTTTGAAATTATATATCGTATACCTATTTATTAGAGGAGTGACGTCTCTTGAAAAAAATAATCTTTTTTTACAAAATATTTACTTAATAAACAATATTTTTCATGTTCAGGAAAATAGTGATTTGTGCAAAGAACATGCGTCACTAACATGTCAGCATAACGACGATAAAACTGAGATTCAGTTTGGAACTGGGATCAGGGAACCAAACGAGATTAGAAATACCGACGAATTTCGTCTACTTCCTGCTGAGGATCCAGTTACAAGACATGCGTCTGACAAACATCTGAATTTAACCAAAAACTTCGACAAAGACATGAATAGCAGTGTCAGAAAGGTAATATTAATTAATTTAGGTACCAAATCATATCGCGGTCATTGTATTTAATATACTTGAGATAAAGCGCTGAGCTCAACTGTGTCAAAACCATGTAACATGTAAGATGCTATTAAATGGGCATTCATGCGGAGATAAATTTCGCATAAAAAGTGGGTTTTTTTTATAATGGGCATGCCACCTTTAGATATCAATGAAGTTTTAAATTCCTTTTAAACTATAAATAGATCCTATAAAGAATTTTCGACGGCATTAACGTCGCCATAGATTGTCTCAAATGTGCATTGTCTGAAAGTGACTCCTTGAAAAAAGAGCTATTTTAAGGCCGCCTATTGACCCACATCTGCCTTAGAGGAAGAAACAATTGCGATTATGTAAAGGTCCCATTGTTCCTGCTATTTATTTTGTTATGTTTGCAAGTCAGCATTATGAAACGTGTTGGTATACACTTTCTTCAATTACCCGAAATCCGTTAACTTTATAGTACATTGCGTGATTATCTCAAAAGGTTTTTGTTTCTTTTGAATTTATAGATTGTATCGAGTGAAAATGACGAACATGAAGAGCAAAACGACAAAAACATTAGTGATGACTTCAATAATTGTAGCAAAAACCATTCTGAATGTGCTTCTAACCAGGAACACGATCTGAAACAGGAAAAAGATAATAAAAAAAGCAATATGTCTAACTATGTACTGACTATCCCCGGGGACACGCATCGGACTGTTCGTGATACACCTGGCAAACATTCTGTCAACGAATATCGACACTATAGTGTAACCGATGGATTTGGACTCTCCGGGCGTAAAAGCGTCAGTGTTCTGTTGGTATGTCTGACGAAAAAAACATAAAATCTTTCAATTTATTTGATATCAATATTACTGGAACACATTTCATATACAATATTAGCAAAGTCAAATCAAATATCCTTTTTGAAAATATATATTCTATACTTAGTTATTAGGGGGGTGAAGTCTGTTGATAAGAATCATTTTTAACAAAATATATACTTAATAATCAACATGTTTATGTTCAGGAAAACGGTGATTTGTGCAAAGAGCATGTGTCATTAACATGTCAGCCTAGCAACGATAAAGCTGATATACAGTTGGGAACTAGGATCGTGGAGCCCAATGAGATAACAAATGCCGACAATTCCCGTCTACATCCTGGTGAGGATCCCATAACAAGAACAAGTGAGACGGTATCTGACAAACATCATAATTTAACCAAAAACTTCGACAAAGACATGGATAACAGTGTCAGAGAGGTAATATTGGTATACCATACCACAATTATTCATATAGGTAACAAATCATAAGATCGCAGGTATTATTAAATATACTTAAGATAAAGGAATCAGCTCATCTGTATCAAAACCATGTAACATGTAAGCTGCTATAAAATGGGCATTCATGCGTAGATAAATTTCGCATTGAATAGTTTTTGTTAATTATGGGCATGCCACCTTAAGATATCAATAACGTTTTTAATTCCTTTTTAACTATAAATAGATCATTTAAAGAATCTGCGACGTCATTAACGACGCCACAGTTGATCTCAAATGAGCATTGTCTGAAAATGCCCCCATGAAAGTAGAGCTATGTTAAGGCCGCCTATCGACCCACACCTGCCACAGAGGAGGGAACAATTGCAATTATCTATAGTTCCCATTGTTCCTGCTTGACATCAGATGTTTCATTTTATGACTGTACCACTGGAAATATACAAAACGAAGCAAAGCTCCATGTTCAGATGAGCATAATGTTTAGGACTCATTTTTAAAAGTTCGCATGGTTATGCATTTAAAAAAACACGCCAGAGTCTTTTTATTTTCAAAAATGAATCCTGCTATTTTGTAATGTTCGCAAGTCAGCATCATGAAACGTGTTGGTATACACTTTCTTCAATTACCCGAAATCCGTTAACTTGATTGCGTAATTATCTCAAAAGTGTTTTTTTCTTTTGAATTTATAGGTTGTATCGAGTGAAAATGACAAACATGAAGAGCAAAACGACGACAACATTAGTGATGACTTCAATAAGTGTAGCAAAAACTATTCTGAATGTACTTCTAGCCAGGAACACGATCTGAAACAGGAAAAAGATAATAAAAGAAACAATATGTCCAACTATGTGCAGCATGTTCCCGGAGATACGGCGCGAGCTGCAACTCGTACTGACCATAACAATTGTCAAGTACATGTTGAGGAAAGTTGAAGTAGCCACTCTACCCGTACACCCTTCTTGTGTTAAACGTGTACTATAAGGAAATAAATCGTGGGCCTTATCGGCTAAAAAAGTTAACGGAAGTCATCTCTCGATTACATTATTCTGCTGTCAACAGCTGGTAGGCTAAATATTTAGGTACTAAATGTAATCATACAAGTTTCTTCCGTTTTTATCCTTTTTTGAACGAACATGTTCATTAAATATTTACTTAATGTATCTGTGACCATTGCCTCCGAAAAAATATACAAAAGTTGTATTTGATAAATTGAAAGGATTCCTCCTAGTCCAATATGTCCAATGCAGATGATGACAAATGCGTTGATAGTCCACGCTTGGGAGAAATAGTAAGGCAATGTTTAGCGTTGCGTGAAAAGCAAATACAAAGTATCCACTTAGTTTTATCAACAAAATTTATTTTTATGTATTAAATGTACTTGTAACATAAATTCTACTTTTCAAACAATACGGGTGTACAAAATGTTATCAAGCGAAACAGAATGTTTTAAATCAAAGAAATGTAATTTCATATTACATGATTGTTGAAAAAGATACGACACACGCTCTGTAGAGGCATATGAAAAACAATATATATATTTATATTTATATTCTTGTAGCATCCTTTTTTCTACCTTATCAAATCTGATTTCGAAAGTATTCCAAGAAAGAGTTAGGCATTATAGATACATTGTATGGGGTCAAATTTATTTTTCTTTCCTTTCAACTATGTATATGCAAATATACGAACACCACATGCATTTACTTTCCATATATATACATTTACGTTATACAGTATATATATTAACCTACTAACCAAAAGGATCAGTATACTTCAATAACTGTAGGAACTCTTCAAAAACGCGTGAATGTTTTTGAATCAGAAACCGTTCATGTCTGTTTATTATACTGTATGAGTAATCGTGGCATGTGCCAAATTCAAATAATGGCGGGAATTCTCGAATTATTTCCGATTGACGAGTGTCGCCATACAAAACTCGTAAACGTAGAAAACACAATGTAGTTCCTGCTGCTTTTTGTCCTCTTAATAGTAATTATGGAAAGGTGCAGATTTTTTTCGACGTCTGACATTTAAATACAGCTTAATATTAAAAAGCGTTTTACAAGTTTCAAAACTTTTTCATTTTTCTTTCATATAAGGAACGCATGTATAGCCTGTTACCATGTGTACAAAACAAAAGATATGTCAATATTCGTCTGGATTATTCCATGAAGTGCATGATTTGAATAATGATAGTCTGATAGTTGGTATGCTATTGACCTTCGGCTATATAAAGTTTAGAACAAATTTCACACTGTAGTTAATTTTAATTTGTTCAATTGAAAAAAATATTAAACACACAAGTCGCTGTCTGAATGGAACCAAACTTTAGTATGTTATAATTATCTCTCTTGGATCAGTCACTTTTAAAGTTTATTGGTTACCGAGGCAAACTTTACTATATATCTCTATTTCGGATGAATTGTATCTGGTTAAATCCTACAAAATACAGAAAAAGTTCAGCTAATAATCAGATTTATTACCGTATTTTACCGGCAATAAGCCCCCTCTCGCAAATAAGCCCCCTCCCCACTTTGGTAAATGTCCTGGAAACAGGGTGGGTGCCTGCCATTAAGCCCCCACTCGTGGTTCTAGACACAACAAACCCCACGCTGAAATCACAATAGCGTCGCTGTGACACGTTGAGGAGATTCTGACATGTTGAGTTCCAAGCCGTATTCAGAGTCTGGTTTATGAATAGCAAAAGTTATAGTTCAAGGTATATTTCAGTATTTCTCCCTTACTCATTTATTACATGTGCTATGAACATTAATCTAAACTCTTATGTCAGACATGAAACACCTCATCTCCCCTACCGACCTTCTTACTGAACAGCCAAAGGAACATATGTGTTACACCGCTCTATCGGGGAATTAGTCTGCAAGACAGCCATACAAAGCTTCTGATCATTTTATAATCGAATGCACCGATTATCAACAAATATGTGGCAAATTCTATAAAGTAACACCACCGTTTCTGTGTCATAATATATCATTAATTGCATTTAATTAATCTGTACAAAAAAAACTATGATGACATGTATTTTAAACATTCTACCATTTTAGTTTATGCTTAATGTATGACTTTTTATGAAGGTCTATATAACATGTTGACAAAGTTATTGAATAGCCGTAAAACACTGAACAAAAATCTTCTGTTACATGTTAAGTATTCGACGATTCATCAATTTGCAAAAATAAGCTGTGACAACGCGATACATCTTTGATTTTCAAATATAATAATTAACACCATTATATTAAAGACATACTTCTAAAACAAAGATGAACATATACAGATATAAAACAATACAGGCTAGACAACACCAAGAAACCCGACCACAAACATAACAGTCAAAGATACTGAACCACAAAAGTAATACCAGTCCAAAATACAAGCTTAGTAAGGTGAGAACAGTCCTAAATACAAGACTACACAAGTGTGATCAGTCCAAGATACAAGATCACACATGTGAGACTGGTCAAAAATACAGGATAACAAAGACTTGACCGGTCCAAGATACCAGACCCAACAGGTGAGACCAAGTCCAAGATACCAGACCGCACAGTTAAGACCAGTCCTCGATGCAAGACCACACATGTGTGACCATTCAAAGACACACGACCATACAAGTGTGACCATTCAAAGACACATGACCACACAAGTGAGACCCGTCCAAGATAATAGACCACACAAGTGATACGAGTCCAAGATACCAGCGTGTATAGGTGAGACCAGTCCAAGACCATAACGTTGAGACCAGTCCTAGATACCAGACCCAACAAGTGAGACCAGTCCAAGTTAACAGACCACAAAAATAAGACCAGTCAAGATACCAAACCACGAAAGTAACACCAGTCCGAGATACCAGCTTGTACAGGTGAGATCCAATCTAAGTTCAATACCATAAAGTTGAGACCAGTCCTAGATACCAGGCCCAACAGGTGAGACCAGTCCATTTTAACAGACCACAAAAATAAGACCAGCCAAGATACCGAACCACAAAAGTAAACCAATCGAATATACAAGCATACACAGGTGAGACCAGTCCTAGATACAAGACCTCACAAGTGTGGCAATTCCAAGATACAAGATCACACAGGTGAGACCGTCAAATATACAACATAACAAATGCGACACTGGTCCAAGATACCAGACTCAACAGGTGAGACCAGTCTAAGACACAAGATTAGTCAGGTGAGACAGAGTCAAAGATACAAGATCACACAGGTGAGACCGGTCCAAGATACCAGACAACACAATCAAGACCATTCCAAGATAAAAAAAAAAATCATAAAAATAAGACAAATTTAAGTTACAAGACAATATAGTTGAGACCAGTCAAATATATCAGACCATAGAGGTGAGACCAGACTAAGATACAAAATAGAATAAACAGAAATAGGAATATACAAAGGTACTAGACCAGATAGGTAGGACTATACCAATAAACCACGCCACACAAGTTAACCAGATCAAGAGACCTGAGCGCACAATTAAGACCAGATTCTGAGACCAGACTACACAAGCTAGACCAAACTCTGAAAAAAACCCACAAGAATCGGGTCAAACTCGAGACACACAAGTAAGACGAGACTCTAAAACCAGACCGCAAAAGTGTGACCAGTCTCTGAAACCGACACCGCACAAGTTGGACGAGACTTTGGAACGGGACCGCACCAATATGACTAGACTATGAGACCAGATCACACTAATGAAAAAGAATAAAACGATCAGATGAGACCAATGATAGCAGATCAGTTGACCGAGCGTCACTGACGGGACACGACAAAAATAGCCCAGCCCACACGAATAGGACAAACAACGCAAGTGGTTTACCAGACAAAGGTTCAAGAAAAGTGTACTACACTACATACAAGGTACCACATTAGAGTACCTGATCGCAAGTAGGGACAGACCAAGGGACTAGGTCATCAAATATGACCAAGGCATGATACAAGATAATACAAATAATAAACAAACTAGGGAGTCAAACCATGTTTAAATGCGTGCTACGTAACGAATACCGCGTACATTTAGTAGTGAACATTTACAGTCTGTATGCTTAGACCCATTGGCGAAAATGACATTCATTTTTGCACAACACAGGAGACCTTATCACTGCGTGTTGATACACTTTAATGACGTAGAACAGAGCGTAATTCGTACACGTCCGCCGTGAAACAACCCAGGATGTAGTTTAGTTATGCTTATATGATTAACATTAAACATGACAGGCTTCATTTTGAAGCTCAAATGAGGTGTGTAAGGTACATGATAATAATATCCGACTTGTGTAAATTCTACAAATTAAAATTTTGAAAATGGAACTATATTCTGTTTGTCTTGTTGTCATGCTGTTGCTTGGACCCCCAGTGAAAGGTTTACATTTTCCCGCGAAAACAAGCTGTTCTCTCTACTGCGTTACCCCCATGCATAAATAGAAAGAAAGTGCTGGTATTATTTTTAATTATGCTTGCATCGGAAACTCAAAGCGCTTAAAAAAATAAATATAAGGAATGAAATTTATTATTTAAAGATTCGTGAGGTCATAACAACATTGGCTTTCTGGACATATTTACCAAGAATATGTCAAGAAAGCCAATAATGTTATGACCTCATGAATGCTGAAAAATAAATTTCATTACTTAAATAATTACTCTCTTTGACCATAACAGCCATGTACAGTTTATATGAGGCGCAACCTCTGTGTGGTATCACTATTCAAAACAATACACCTTATTGCTACTACACATGACCTAAATACATGTATATACTATCAGTGCACGTGATAACAAACTCCGCTTTACTTTGAACTTCCGCCACCCAGCTACTCCAATGTGTCAATACAAGTTGTGACACTGATGAAGGGAATACCAGACCTTCAGAGGGTATACGTCATGTTTCACTTCACCACTCCTATATAAAGGAGGGACCGGGGTTACCTGAACAGGTAAGTCAAGACTAATTCCATTTATTACCTCATTTGAGGGTAAGGGACGGTTAAATCCTATGTCACTATATAAGAACGTAAAAAGTACAGCTAACCACGATATTTCATACTGACACAGGGAAAGCTACCCACATCACTTCATTCTGACACAGCATATAACTAACCATTATACAAACTTGCTTCGTGTGTACGATACTAAATTGACAAAACTCCTCGATATGAAATCTTGCAAAATGTTTCAATTCTGAAATAAAATATACTAATGATAAAGATAAATGGGGTTTCACAGATATACCAAGTGTGACCTTTTGTTTACATTGACTGATGACCACCATGGTGTTAATAAGTGCTGAATCTGTGAAGAGGTTAATGAGATATCTTGTACGCAAGTTTTTGTTTAATGATACGCGATCCGGTGTAAGGACACGCCGTCAGAGCGAAAAATATACAGCCTCGCCCTACTCCCAACTAGATTGAAGTACAACAATCGTGCAAAATATACTTTTAGTAGGTTATAAAATAAGTGTTGACCACTGTTTGTATATGTTGTGATTAAATATACAGAAATCTATGTAAATGGTGTACTTTGTACTTATCGTGACTTCAAGCTTCTACTATTACTGTGTGCATTGTCATATTGCACAATCAGAAGTGACATTTGACTGTTTGCTCTAGCTGATATCGAATTGTTTACGAGATAAAACAACAAATGCACTGTGAAAAATTTGCTTTCCAACAAGAAACTGTCATTCAAATATGGGTTGTTTCGATATATATGACCCTCGATATAATGCCCCTCATTTTATTGCCTCGATGTACCATCAAACCCCTTTATAACGCCAACAATTTTGCTGGGTTGAAGAGGCACTATTCACAATGTAACCCTATGATGATCTGAGTAAAAGCAACATCATGATCAATCGGCGGTTCCGTATGATAGAATATTACCAAGGTATGTTTTGTCCTTATTCTTTAAAACATATCGTCAAAATCAAGTTGGGATGACACATTTGGGTTTTTTTATTGTCATAATTGGACTTTAATTAGCTTTTAAAAACCTAACCATACTCTGATCAATTACATAAAAAGTATTTAATATTTGCTAATTTTTGTGCGGCGTGTTATTATTTTGTTTCGCACTATGACTTAATCAAACGTTGTTTATTGGAAGAGAAACATATATATTAGGCATATACCTATCACCTTATCACTTTTAAATTTCCTACTCATATCATACAAAGATAGTAACCACGGGCTTATTTTAATAACTAACAACGACCGATAAGGTTATCGATAAAGCGTATGGCTATTGACGTGGACAGGTAGGGACATCCTATTTCAGGTGAACCTGTATGATACTATGTCAACTTCCTGTTATCTTTGAAATGTATTTTGGTAGGAGTGCGAATAAATCGGTTTGGTCTAGCCAGCAAATAGCAATATTAACATTCATCTTCTATCAAATATCAATATCAAGACGGTAAAACATAAAGTTGGCTTGAAACTGAAACATATTGTCGAAATTAACCTAGAATGACTTTTAATATCTATAATGTTTACAAGGTATCAGATCTTAAAACTGGAAATATATAAGGTGTAATAAAGTGAGATGTCCAACACTAAAATAAAACACAGCACGAGTCTAGGATCTTAGAATGGTTTTACTGTAGAGTTCTGAATATTATTAGGCAATTTTAACAGACATCAATAAACAATAAGTATATCCGATTTATCAATTATAAATTGGACATTGTAACATTTTCACTTAAAGGAGAAAATCTTCCTTACTTTCAAAGAACATTGGAGGCCTGTACCTCTGCTTAAAATTAATAAAGAGAACGGACAATAAACGTAGAAAAACACAATGTATCGCACTATGCTGTGTATATCATCTAGGATAAACAGCAGGTGAATATATGACATAACTTAATACAGGGAGGATAATAGCACACCATGTTTAAAACGTGGGATATTTGGCATTTATAGTGTATGTTGGTTAAGGTTTATTCATAGCAAACTAGGCTGCCATTGATTAAATATGGCGGAAATATTTAAGATAGTTGTCGATTAGGCTACCCAATGACATCTTACGTTATTATATTTTGTACTTAAAATTAATTTTTAATGCTCATAACAATGGACAGATTAGAAGAATAACAATGTTAACGATTAAAGATATTCTACCTCTCAATGTATATATTATGCATCTGATATAATTGAAGATGCAAAACTCTCAAAGATTTGCGTACATTGCTTTAATATCAGGATTATAATAAAAGTTCTCCAAGACCCTGGTATTATGAAATGGCATAAAAAATACTTAAGTCAAGAAAGACGAATTTCTCTAAAATACATTTAAACCTTAAATATATGTCTATGATATGAAAGATTGAGTCCATTTGTCTCATTAACAACATCGCTTTTAGGACACCAAATCCAATGTATATTTAAATATCCTCAATTAGTAATTTCCAATTGTTTGTTAACGTAAGTAATAATAACAGTATATTCCAACCAGCTACCATATCTTGATTAAGCTTTGCATTAATCAGATATTTTCATTTATATAAATTTTAGTTTACTAGTAAACTGAACCTCCTAAAGGTGTCTTCCAAAAAACAAAACGTATTCTCAATATAAAACTGAATGTCATGCAATGCCACAAGCAAGCCCTGTCCTACACATTTGATTTCTTATTACAGAAAAAATGTTCACTTTATCCATGGATAAGTGTATCACCGTATTGTTGTGCGGGACTGCAATACTTGCGCAATCCCAATGGCAGTGGATCCAACCCCTAGGTACGTTATTTCTTATTTTGATTTGTGTTATTGAATATGGTTCACGCTGGTTGTAATATAATGCGGGGTTCTTTTTGTCATTCATTAGTAATGGATATTTTGCATATGTATGATATCAATAAGTAATGTAATCGTATTCTGATATGCTTCAAAAGGGTATCAAATGGCATATTCAGTAACTTGTTGTGTGTGGTTATCAGGTTTCACCTTGCCGCGACGTGTACAGTCAATATTTACGCTGACACCAATGACTTTTACCTTATTTAACTTTTGAAGTAAAAACATAACCTGATAAGTGTACAAAACGTTGGCTCCGTTTAACATTATTTGTCATCTTATTCTATCTATCTATCAAATAACATGTAGCAACATGATGACCACTTATATAAAATAAGAAGTATTTGGTCATCAACACTGACCCTCGGTACCGGTTGAATACAAAGAAACAATAGCGTAATCCCTCTTTTTATATAAGTTTTATTTATTCTTGTGCAGTACAATGTAACAGTTTTTTAACAGATATACAGTCCAACAGCAACTCGTCTTGTGTTCCTGTAGGACATGATCTCGTCATCACCTGCACGCGTAACCCAAAACCGGAAGCAACAGGACCAGAACAAAGGATAACTGTAAAAAAGCAATTAATGGGTTCGAGTACGACTATATTACCGATGGGTATCAAACAAGGAGTTGAAGTTTTACTTCCAAATGTGACTTTGAATGATACCGCCATCTACACCTGTTGTCTAGGTGATGACTGTGTGGGACTAAACTTCGTTATCGGAGGTGAGCTTGTTACAAGTCGAATTACTAGTACATAAATAAACAGGCCCAAAACCAAAAACGTATCCTTCTAAATACCAAAAACTGCCAATGAAATATGGAAGAAAAGTACACCCTTCCAGATCCCTCCATATGCATGCTTACTAGAAATCATGAAGAATTAAGCCTGATATACGCTTTGCTTTTAATTGAAATGTTTTTATGTAATTAAGCAAATTTACATTTACACGCCATAAAAATGTACATGACAGTAATTTGATATGATGTGAAGATGAATGTGATGATGAACAAAAATGCTCGTAGAAAGCAATTTCAACAAAACACTTATTATACAGTTTCAAGGAAAGGGGGTATATGCAACAAGTTTTTTCTACTGAATGAAAGGCGATGTAAATCACATAGACACGTGGTAAAATATAGACATCAAATTAATCTCTTTGTAATGTAAACATCAATTTAACTGTTGATATTTTTAGTATCCCATCTAACGATGATTCTAATTAATTAGAATTATGATACTAGTAATTGACGAAAAGTATTAAAATGTTTTTTCATCAACTATCTTATTTTAAAGCTCATTTTTTTCCAATTTCCAATTTATTTTCAGTGTCAATTATTTACACAACCTGCACAAAAAGTCAATTTTTCGATACAAAATGACCTATAGATGTATCAATTAACCGAGAAAGAACCTTTTATTTCATTAAGGATATCACGTCATAAGCTATCAACGAACAACGTATTTTCCGAGCTTAAAACAAATTTTAAGATATAGTTTTCGGTCTTTTGTAGAATTACCGCCTGCTCCACAAGACTTTGAGTGTGTCATTTATGATGTTTACTACATGGAATGTACTTGGACCAGTTCAGATAAATGTGTCACGTGGTCCGTACAATACGAAACCGTTCCAAGCTATCCCAATAGGTAATTTGCTACCTAAACTGATTAACTGATATAATAATGTTTACTGATATCAGCAGGAAACAATATATTAAACAGTAAATGCGAAAGATTCGAAGTTTTAAAAAAAAACTATCTTAGCTATTTTACATTTCAAATAAAAGAAATGTGTGATAGCGACGCAATAAACAGATCACTTTTGTTGTTTACATATTTTAAACTGTATTTACTAAATAGTCTATAATTCACGTAATATGCATTGCAGATATGATCGCGAAAAATTGACACAAACGGCATGCGATGGCACAGGAACCCCCTTATTACACGGGTGTAACCCCAAGAACAATTGCTCTGACCACACGAAATGTATACGAAATGTTTGGAGTTTAGAAATACCTCAATTGGATGTCGTGTACAAGATCAGCCTGACAGGATCAGGGATATATGGAGTAGCAACTTACTACTACAACATTAGTACTAGCTATGTTATTGGTAAGTTATCTGTTCCTCATCAAACCAGTCTTCTTGCTTCTATTTTAACAGTAGTTTAGACGAATTTTATGTCCAACCCTTTGTGGCCCTTGTACATCCTATGAGGCATATATTTCAATTCAAGGTGAATCACTGGAAAAAAATCGTATACGAGACCAAGAAATACAGTTTTAAATCTTCAGCAATTTTTTAATGAAAATGAACAGTATTGTTCAGGAGTCAGTGTTATCCGAAATAATAGTTATGACGTCATGATAACAATATCTTACTTTCCGGATCATGCTATTCATGTATCGTCGGAGCTGGGTAGGATTTCAAATTATCATAGCCATGCAATGAGTATCTACATTTATTGTTTGATAAGGCTATAGACTGACAATTTAAAGCTATGTATGTTTGATAGGATGGTACCTTTACCACAAGATATTCTTTGCACAAAATAATCAGTCTTCTTTTTACAGAAAAACTTGGTAACCTGTATAGCTGCAGTTCCCTATTTAACGGAAGCACGGTCGAAATTGGTTGTAAATTTCCATTGCCTCCGACTGGATTTGAAAATGGACTAAGGTGTAAAATAACAGCCGAGTCAATATACAGCACGCGTTATGATACCATCGTAAGTATTATAAATAGCTTACATATGACCTTCGTACAAGGATATGTATGCTGGTTTTCGTTAATATCAGTATGTCATACGAAAATAAAATTTTAAGCTGACAGTGCAAGCTAAAAACTTTCAATTGAGATTTAAAATAAAAACGTTTGATTTTTTTCTTGTATCGAGATCTTCCCCATCTCTTCCGTCTATCGTCGGAATAGATTGATTGAGTAAAAATTGATATGAAACACATCAAAGATATCATTTATCTAAGAAAAATGGAAATAATAGGGAAATACGACCAATTAAAATATATAATGCACAATGCGCAATCTCTGAAAACTTTACAACTCTGAAATGGAGTGTGTTTTCGGAGGAAACGGAGATTATGTCCGCGGAAGGAGAATACATTTTACGTGCAGATAGGAGGTTTATAAAAGAGAAGGTATCCATCTTTCCCACGGTACTAAGCATTGTCCTGTAGATCAACTAGAAATGTTGTTTCTGATGCAAGAAAGTAAGGTGGGGTCAACTTTTCGCGTCGTGAGCTTTCCGCCCTTCTCGTATATATGATCATTGGGGGTGTCATTTTTACCAAAAGTCGATCTAAACCCCTAAAACATGTAACATTACTCTGAACACCTTAGTTTATGTCCAAATAAGACTAACAGTTCATAATAAAGTTTTCGTGTGTGGGTGCAGTTCTATTCACGTGAAAGATCGATGATATATATGGGATTCATTGAAGTTTTTTTAGCAATATACGTTTCATTTTGGATACACAATTTTCGACCATGTGCTATACGTAACAACCAGCTTGGCAGTGTTTCAAAGTCGTCAGGTGTCCTGAGTGCGTTTTTTGTATATTGGTTGCCGATCAGGGTGCGCGGTACATTGAATGATAACCGGTACAGGTAATGAGCTTTTTATACCCAGCAATACCCAGCAATACCCATACTCGTTAACGAGCAAGGACAAACTAAAATGTCAGCGCTTCCTTAGAAACGATAATCAGAATAGAAGGGGAAGATCTCAAAACCAGAAAAGAAATCTCATTTGAAAGCTTTTTTACTTGCACTGTCAGCTTTGAATTTAAATTTTGTTTTCTTTAAAAAAAATCAGAAACATTTACTTTGAATGCCTATTATGATTCATTTGATATATTTAGGAATACACAGTTGGAAATTTATCCTATCGGTTGGAGGACAGTCATCCTTACACGTTCTACAACATGTCACTGACATGTCAAGTTAATAAAAGTCTATATTGGGGAAACCCCTTCATCTACCAGTTCACAACACCGCAGGATGGTATGTATTTCAGTCTTAAGAGGACACTTACTTTTTCTGAAGCTCTGAAAATCATTTATCTATATTAATTTTGATCTGTTTAGCTTTAAAACAATTTCGATATAAAATAATAATATATTTGGCTTAAATATCAACTGGTAAAGTGTGAAACATGTTGATCTGTAATCCAGGAGCTCCTAAATTAAGGATATATATGTAACAGATTGTTTTCATAGATAAAAAAAAAAATGTGCATATATTATCTTCCTAGTGCCATTGGTTGGTCCCTCTACAAGTAACCAGTCCTATACTGTGTGGTGTAAAGCGGACAAACCTCATGTTTCAATATACATTCAGGTACGTACACAACCACTTGTGAGTATCAACTATCAAATAATATTTAGTACTGATCACCATCATAATCTCAATTGGAAATAGTCTCTCCCTTTGAGAAATATGAAGGTCGTTGCGTTTCTATTATGTCCCTTTGTAGTTTCGTTGTCGCTACCCCGTCTCTCACTTTGAGAACGTTGTAGGAGGCACGGTAGTCTAGTGGTAGGCCACCGGGCTCATGACCCAAGAGTTGCGGGTTCGAGTCACGGCACGGCATTGTGTTGTATCTTTGAGCAAGATACTTTACTCCGCTTGTTCCAGTCTACTAAGCTAACGAGGTTGGGCAGTGCTAGAACTGTAGAATTCTAGCTTTGAGAGGCGAAATGGCAGCACCGGCTGTATGCTCCCCAGGAACTTGAGAAAGTTATTGGCTGGTTGCAAAGGCCCTATTACCACGGATAATAATTTGTGAAACGTTTTGAGACGACCTACAAACTAGGTTGTGATAAAGCGGTATATAAGAACCTCTAATTATTATTATTGTTTTTTGGATTTCATCTAGATAAATTTGGTGGGTGTTGTCGATTAAGCGGGAGATGATCAGCCTTCAAACCCCTGGACCTATTGAATCACGGTTTCGTTTAACTTTATGTGTCGCGGGTTTTTTTTATGTTACAATCGTAGTCATACATCACAAGTGAACCTGAAACAATATAAGGGTTTTATTTTAAGATATATGGCGTGGTATGGCATGACTTTTAAATATTGAAATATTGTGTCTTTGTATCAGCATCCAAGTGCATACCAAACACAAGGAATCCTGACAGGATATAATATGAAAATTGAATCATCTGCGGATTGCTGGAATCAGTCCTTCGTCCCAAACAAAACAACTCTGATGTTTTCTAGTATGGATTTTAACATGTGTGGAACTTCTGTAAACTATGATGTCACTATATGGTCACAAACGAGTGAAGGTGATTCAAAGGAAGGAACTCACCTGTCTATTTCTGCTAATCCAACGCGTAAGTAAGGAATCCGTACGTCCAGTACCGCATTCACAAAGATACATTTAGAGTTTATAATAATCTACAGACTTCTTAATGACTTTACATTTCAATGACTGCTAGGGTAAGAATCTCACTTGAAAAGCGGTGCACTTTTACATTAATCGTTACTATAGAATTAGCTCTATGGCAAACAAATAAAACGATGAACACTTCGGTTTGTTTACTATTTGTTTTCTATGTAAAATGTTTATACTGATTAGCTTTTTTGTTGTTGCAGATATGGTCATAACTGAAGTTATAGTAGAAGAAACTAACTCTGGATATCGAGTTAGCTGGAAAGGTCAATCAAATCAATCAAACAAATGTGTATACCACTGGTGTATCTCCGACCGTAAATCACAGGGATGGACAGATAACGTCACATGTCTGGTGGGTACAAAAACAATGTATATTATACACTATAAGGAATTATCTACGGTGTTGTATCACAGGGAAGGACGGATAACGTCACATGTCTGGTTGGTACAAAAACAATGTTAATTATACACTATAAGGAATTATCTACGTGGTTGTTAAGCTTATATGTCATCGTGCATACGGTTGATTGTGATATGTCTAAGAATGGTTTTATTGAGTAATACGTTAACATACTTTTTACCCATGAATAATTATCTCTGATTATTTCTTTCGAGTGGAAAAGGAGATTCATGTTATAGTATGGCAGCATACATCCTTAAAATCAAACTTTCAAACATATAACTTAAGGAATCATGTATTCCCGGACCCTAATGGTTTTTTATTGGAAGCATATTTACTGTCATGTTTATAGTTTTGATAAATAATTTCTGGAAAGAAAATTATATTTACGGAACTTTTGTGTGGGAACAAAATGATAATACAGATCAAGTAAATAAAGTAAATACGTCAATATACATAAAATGTGAAATATTAATGATGTCATGGTCGGAAAAAACCTTAAAATAGTAAATCCTTGTGAAATTGAAAATGTTTGCTACAGGGAAGGTACAACTTTAATGAAACAACAGGCAGACACTCACTTATTCCACTAGATACGGACGATGGATTATTATGGAAGTTTGGTGTTTCCCAAAACGGTACTGGAATTCGATGGCAAGACTGTGTATTTTCGAGTAAGTAGAAACGGCCTTAATCAATGCCTCCGTTACACGTTCGATACAAAAAGATTAAAATAAATATCAGATATCTATATATATGAAATAGAGATAATAAATAAATAGCAAACAAACCAATGTCTCTTGTTTGTATATGTAGGTTAAGCTATATATTTGTCGTACGCATATCCAATTACATTCCAATATGCTATGTACCTTAAAAACAAGAATCAACCTGGTGACCTAGAAAAGGTATACGTATTCATTTAAAATCAGGGCTAAAACTTGTCCTTGCCCTTTAGATGAAATAAACGTTGATGTATTGTTTTATTATGTTTACGAAAAAAGATGGACCACCTATAAGAAAACCTGACCGCCTTGATAATGAATCAACCATCGAACTACCTGAGAAAATGGCATTTTGCTCAAAAACGTCTCAGAAAGGACCAAAGCCACTGGAATACTTAGTACTGTATTCTGACATCGAACGTAGCACAAGTAAGTAGTTTTGATAACTATTAGGTGCGTTCTAATAACCTTACGACTGCTCCTTATATATTTTAATCGATGATTGCATCTGGTGTTGCAAATGCTTTGGAAAACGGACACTGTGGAAAAATCCTCAAACACCATCTTGCACTGGCAATTACTAAATTCCCAGTAAAGTACATTGTTAGCGTCCAGGTGTTAAAAATAGAGTCACACAAAAAACTAGAGCAACAAAGACATCGGAATTACATGAAATTCCTTATGAAACATAATTCTATGAAATATCTTTTTTTCTACAGAATTAACATTTAATAAAATCAAAGATGTCTTAATTTAAACACACACACACACACAAATTATATAAGACAACCCTTCGACTATCTATTATTATAATACAACTTTTGAAATAGCGCTCTCTCTATAGCTAGAATATTTTATAAAATGTTTACAATGCTACACTCTAGCTAGAATGAGACCCCCTCTATCTGGTCACGTGACCATGGTTTCCGTGACGTCATTATATTTATTTGTCACCCAGATTGCATTCATATTTGCTGTAACTGCAATCTGACAGACGTTCAATCCTTACGTATACATAGAAGTATCTCGTAAACTATACATTTTTTTAAATATCTCGAATATCTGTTGCCTGCTTTATGTTAAATTTAAACAGTGCTTACGATATCTCCTGTAACAAGTATATCAAATAATATATTATTTGTTTATAAGATATGTCATTGATTAAATAATATGAATCATTTATATATACTAAAGATATTTTTCAAAAATTGATAAAAAGACCTGTCATAGTGTAAACAGTTTTGGTCATGTTTTATATAAATGTTAACATTTGATAAGAGAAGTCTGTGGTTTCTTTGGTTTTAACTTTGTTTTATTCAATTATTTTTGGACAATACATTGAAATACAAATTGTACATAATATAGAATAGAAAAGGAAACAAAAACAAGTGTCATGACACTTGTGTAAATTTGTAACCTGCTTCATAATAAATCTTTTCAACACTACATGTAGCTACAGGAATGAAATAATATGAACAACAGAACAAATACGGGAATAGGGGATGGGGCAATGGATTTGTATGCAGAGGAAACAAAGAATGAATAATATATCAATATACATGAGATCATCAGATGTTAATATCATATTGCTATATTGCAATGAGTATGTAGAACACGACTCTGTATAATATAACTATGTTAAAGTGGACACTCGATGACTGTTAGAAATATATATACAATTACATATCATTAATTACCACTGAATACCTATTAACGAATTGAGTATGTCACAAAGCACCGCCATGATTATTAAAAACGTCACAGTTCACATACTAAACATCACACTTACCAAATATATGTGGTTTCTTGTATTTCAAGTTCTTGAATATAAATCAGACACACGAATAACTCGAAATTCTTGTTACGTTAATAAGGCTATATATGGTTAGTATATCCGAATAATTTTTAAAGAATAGAATCGGGAAATATTTTAACTTAAATTGTATATATTCGGCTTTATAAATGTAAGAGTAAAACGACTTTTATCGGAAACGTTTTTCATCAAATTCAGCAAGACCAATCATTTTCTATGTATTTATAGTGCAAGCAGTGGAATGTTTGATAAAAATGAAATAATGATACAAATAATATTGTCAATAACATGCTTGTATGATTTTGACAATAGATAAATCACCAAATCTTTGAGATACGGTGTTAGTTTTGACCATTAACGGTAAGCATTGTAGTGATGATAAAGTTTAAGGTAAAGATTGATTTGAAGTTTTTCAACATTCTTTTGATATAAGCCATTCTTTGAATTGGTAGTATCACAATATGTCTTCCTTTCCTATGGTTAGTATAGCGGTTACAATATTCGCCAGTGGTTTTGATAAATAATTCGAAAAGAACTCGAGATGAACATGATAACATGATACAATAATCGTACTGTTATATATGATGATATTAGTAGTTTATATTTTATATCAATATCAGGCAAACACTTCACCGTTAACGCAAGTATGAGGACCAGCTTCAACGGCATACACCTGATTGCTGACACGTTGTACACCGTGAAATACAAGATCATATACTCTAATGGTCGACAATCAGAATTCAGTGACGCGGTGTCTTTTAAAACACCGACAAAAGGTTGGTGTAGAACGTTAATTCATATAAAAATGGCTTCTGCTATTGTTTATGCCCTGTAGTTTTGTTGTTGTTGTTGTTGTTACTGTTTATTCATTGTTATAATTGTATTTTCTTCTTTTATCTTTTTATTCATTACTCGTCTTTCTTTTAGTCATTGATATTTTTGTTTTTCTATTATTTAAGACTAGTGTATGCTGAACACATATATGTACTCAAAATACATCGAAAAGTACACAATGAAAAAACATTCTTCAACATAATTATAATCTAATTACTTATATATTTAGATGTTGAAAGCGTAATTGCAATCTATTTTACCTCTGTATTATGTTTTGAAATGTTAAGAAACATTAAACAGCACATATAAATATGTATCACCGATTTAAACTGAATGGAAGCTTCCTGATTCCCATCTTTAAATTTGTCAGCTCCAGCGCAACAGAGAGTTTCAGGAAGTTCCAGTTCTACCACCGAAGTGTGGAAGGTAGCAGGTGGCATAATGGGAGCAATAGCCTTTCTTATCATAGCGCTCATGTGAGTTTGTGTGTTTTATCACCGTACTGTAATGCTCAATAACCTAGTGCACACAATATGTATTTCTGTGTGTCTATTGAATGTAACAGTGCTTGTACACCTCTGACAAAATTCTTTTTTCATGATGTTTTATTGATATAGAAAGAAAGAACTGTCCTTAATTTATCATTTATAAATTGATCACGTACGTAAGTGGTATATATGTTTCATAATCAATAAAGATTACACTGTAATGATACTCCTTGGATTCAGTATATATTTAAAAAGACAAAAATAACTTGTTTAATTTGAAAAGATTGTTTCATCACATATTTTCAGTTTGATTTACACTGCGAATTGGCGATGGAAGAATATGGATGATAAGATAGAAGACGTGTCCGTGCAACCTCCCGACATTACGGAGGTATAGCACACATCTTATCCTTTGTAGATTTATTTAACATAGCAACGCGTTTATGTGCAAGGACACTTCAATCGCATTCTGACAAAACTTATAGCCCCTAAAGTTTCTTCCAAACATTTCTTATGGATAACCACCCTAGTAAAAATTGGCTAAGCGAGTGTATTTTGATGCTGACCCCTTTTAGTAAGTTTTAGCCGTTTTCGTTCATGAAGCATTATCCGTACATGTACTTCTTTGAGAACAAGCAGGCGCGTAGCTGGACTTTGAACGATGTGCATGCAAAGTTTATTATCCAAGGGGATCCCCAATCCCTCTAGGAAAAGACTTATCTAGAAGCCTTGTGGTGCTCTGTTCTCATATTCACAATTATGTACAGAAAATTAACTGTGAACTCAATTTTATCATTCTCCTTCGGTAATGAACAAATATTAATATGTTCTTTTATATCAACATATTGATATATTTTATTCTCATCCATATACAATTGTTTTCTAATTTGTTTTTAAATCAGAGCTATAAAGAAAAGTTTGGGACAATTACCTACAAAACACCAGACAGTGGCCGAGGGACACTATCCTCTACGAACACTAGCTTAAATGACAATCAGCTCCAAAGAGCAACGATTCCATCAACTCCACGGAAACCACAAAATCGGCTCCCTGTTCCATGTGATATCCATGATGTATCGCAAACAAACCATGGTTTTCTGGTGAGCAATGATGAGGAATCGGCCGAATCGGAGCAAGTTCCCTTTGTCCCTAATGGAACAGTAGATAGTACTGAAGCTGACATTCACAATTCACAAAACTTACAATTTTTCAATGATAATGTCAAATTTGAGAGAAACCAAAATGCCGATTACGTTCAAGTTGATCAATTGATCAGTCCTCCATCATCTCCAGTAGACTATGACGCGACTTCCGGTGTGAATACTAAGGGATTGACAACAACTGACGATGCTGGTCCGGAAAACCATGACATGATTGGTAATACTGAAAATACGACGGACGAAAAAGGTGATGTTAATCCAACTTTACGTTTGCAAAACGAGCATCATTCAACACAAAATTCGATATGTGAGGACTACGTTCTTGCAGGATTCCTTGGAAGCCAAGGGCAATATAACCAAAAACTTTAACATAATCTTCTGAGCATATACAAGCTCTAATCAACTTTTCTCCTGCTGGTGGCGCAGTGGATAGCACATTCACCTTTCACGGGCTTCGATTCCCAGATCAAACCAGAAATTAAGATATCACTACATGCCCATCAACGAGAGTTTACTCGGGATACTCCGGTTTCTTTCCGCACTTCAAACCATACCAACAATAGTGGCTTTTATAAAATAATAATGAATAAAAATTATTTTGTCCTGGTAAGATTAAGTCAAAGATAAGATCAGAAGCAAATGTTGAACGTACTAGTCCTGGGCATGTGGGTGATCCTAGCCGTATTAACTAGCCCTTGATTTGTATATCGACATATCAGAAGCAAATGTTGAACCACGGAATAAGATTAGAAAATACAGACGCGAGATGAAATTGGAGTTGCCAATCCATGTTATCTAAATCCGTGGTTGAACGTACTAGTCCTGGGCAAGTGGGTGATCCTAGCCGTATACTAACAGCCCTTGATTTGTATATCGACATATCATCAGAAGCAAATGTCGAACGCACTAGTCCTGGGCATGTGGGTGATCCTAGCCGTATTAACAGCCCTTGATTTGTATATCCATCTAGAAAATTATTTCTGTGTGAAAGGGATTCTACGTGACGTATGTCAACATTTTTCCTCAAACCCAGTGCGACTACCGTATAAAACCCAGTGCGACTACCGTATAAAACCCAGTGCGACTACCGTATAAAACCCAGTGCGACTACCGTATAAAACCCAGTGCGACTACCGTATAAAACCCAGTGCGACTACCGTATAAAACCCAGTGCGACTACCGTATAAAACCCAGTGCGACTACCGTATAAAACCCAGTGCGACTACCGTATAAAACCCAGTGCGACTACCGTATAAAACCCAGTGCGACTACCGTATAAAACCCAGTGCGACTACCGTATAAAACCCAGTGCGACTACCGTATAAAACCCAGTGCGACTACCGTATAAAACCCAGTGCGGCTACCGTATAAAACCCAGTGCGACTACCGTATAAAACCCAACCTTAAGCTTGTGACCGGAGATTCGACTTACGCCCTGTTTTCATCATGTCTAAGTGAACAATTCTAAACACTTGGCAGATGCAGGGAGGAAAACAAGTGCAAACATGTGATACGGTGTAATGTCGTTTGTTTGAAGGGGTTTGATGTGTCCACTTCACTTCCTTTTTGGAATATGTGTAATGTGGTGAGCCATATCATTACAACAAGAGGCTCCATTGGGCCTCCATTGGGCCTGCATCGCTCACCTGGTATTAATCTCACACTTATTACCTTAAAAGTGGACTAAAATATCAGTATTCATGACTATAATTATTCTAAAGAACCTGTTGAAAGATTTAAACACATTTGATCCCTGTGACTTTGAAAGTCAAGCAAGGTCATTACATTTAACAAACATTATAGCCCTTCATCTCAGATGCAACTTGATTACCAACCTTGTCCTGTTGTTTATTGAGATAAGGTCATTTAAAGGTTTACACACATTTGTGTCTTAAAAGTGGATCAAGGTCATTCAAATGCAAAAACTTGATGGCCCTTCATCCAAATATCAACATTTTTGGCTTTTCATAAGGTTTAAAACATATTTGACCCATGTGACCTTGAATAAAGACGAAGGTCATTCATTTGAACAAACTTGGTAGCCCTTCATCCCAACATCTTTCTCACCAAATGTCATCACCCTCAGGATCTTTTTTTTTTTTTTAGACAATTGACCCCTGTGACCTTGAATATGCGCGAAGGTCATTAATTTGAACAAACTTGGTAGCCCTTCATCCTCGCAAGCTATTGGCCAAACATCATCACTCTGACGTTATCGGCGCTATTTTTAGCAGGGCTTCCCCGGACAATTCAAGTGGTCAAACTGGACATTTGGAACAGACTAGGAATATGGGGTAACATAAGTGGAAGTGCATACAATACATACATTCATTAAAAAAAATATGGCTCTTCACGTGATGTCCTTTTAAATGGTTTTTCGGAAGAAGTTGTTTAAAAATTTCAACATATCTTGACCCCTGTGTTCTTGAATATGGGTGAAGGTCATTCATTTGAACAAACTTGGTAGCCCTTTATCCAATCATGCTGCAGGCAAAATATCAACACCCTAGGCCTCTTGGTAATATTTAGAAGTTGTTTAAAATAAAAAGTTGACACCGGACGGACAATGGATGCCGAACCATGGCATCAGCTCACTTGGCCCTTCAGGCTAGGTGAGCTAACAATGCTGGCGTCCATTGTGATTTTTAATCATATGATAGAGTTAAATGAAATGTTTATGCGAGAAAAAACAGATGCCATACTACATGTAGTTTATATGTGAGTGTTGATTGTTGAAAGATATAAATATTAGTTTGAGTAACCTTGCAGTATTTTGTGAAATGTCCTTAGTAAAATATCATGTATAGAATGCACTTTTACTATCTATTTTCAAGTTACGATTAAACCATACTCGCTTTTCAATATATATTTGTATTACTTAGTTGTTTTTAAGATGATTATGAACTCTTCTGTATTATATTATTTTTAAATTAAATGTTTTTAAAATGTTATGTTAATATTTACAGTGCCAAGTTATTTTCATGTTATAATATCTTAATTATAACACNGAACGTTTGATATAAGCATGCAGTCAAGTACGCATAAGGCAACTTTAGCTGAATTTTTGTTTGTTTGTCAGAATCATGTGGATTCAACTGCGTACTCGCGTATAGGCAGCTACGCGCCTGATGACTCAGTCTCGTCAATATTTTTCAATGAGTCATGCATATCGCCATTTTGCTAATCTTGGCCGTGTGTGTTGATAATTGCTTTTATGATGCGTCTAATCGAATCATGAACTGATCTTTTTCTTTAATTCTCGGTAACATGGAGGCATTATTAGGTTTACATACATTGATTCCAGCATATGGCATAGCTGAAAGTCTTTAGATACTATTATAAACCTGGTAGCGAAAAAACCAAGAAGTAAACATCAAAGTTATAACCAGGCTTACAATACATATATATAACATCTCTATACTCATGTTCTCTCCAATAATACATTTATTAAAGTTTTTCAAGCAAAAAGGATTTTCTACAAATACGCAACACCGTGTCTTGTGCAAGAAAAATTATATTCATCGGAAATGAAAAAAAAAAATATCTACTTATCTACTTTTTTGTATTCCTCTCCGTTCAACTACCTGGTACATTAACTTAACTTTGCCATGGACGAAGGTAAGCGAGCATTGTACGTAACTATATAATTAAGAAACATATCATTTCTGTGTGTTTTATAATCTATTAAGGAAAAAATCAATTAAAATAAATATGACACTCTATATTTGTTGAATTTGAATTTGAATTGCTGTTAAATTCAATGAGACCTATATTACCTTGGCTGGTAGGAGGACATTTAATGACAAAGAAACAAAGAAACTGTGATTTTGTAATGTTGAATACCTGTTATTACACATTGATATGTATGCAATCTACCATGGTACACTTTTGTCTGAGGGATATGAATTGTTTGTCAGAAATTTTACATCAAATGTAAAATAAACCAATTCAATTTACTTTCGACTCCATCTCTTATATTTCCATGTGACGGTGTCCACAAGGTACATCAACTCACTGTAGTGTTGGGTAGTTTTGATTAAAACGATGTGCCCTTTTCCCCTGTGTATGCATTGTGTGCATGGTATTATGTATGCTAAAACAGACCACTGAAGACTGACCATGCATATGGTGCTGGCTGACCTTTCGTTGCTGGCTATGAGCTTTCTTACTTCTTCTACACTAATTGTGATAGTGGCAACAGACATTCAAATATACAAAGTATCTGAATGTCAAGTTTTATTCGTTCTGTGATAGAAAAATGTATACATAATTTACTAACTGTGAGTAACATACAAATATTATCATTGTAATGTTAGATAATAACAAAAGGTCAATGGACACATAGTTGGTGGGCTATCATTATTTGTAGTCCAAATATCACGTTAAATTTTACCAGATTTAAAGGGAGAAACACAGTGCAAATTGTATAAGTTGATGTTATTAAAAATACTGATCGAGATTATCAATTGATTTCGACCAAACCAGACTACAGAGGTCTATAGCCCACATTGTAGGGACACTAACGACACCTTGCTGCTTGAACTATTTGCAACACAGCTGTATTTATGTGTGTATATAAGCATGATTATGAGGACAAAATTCAAACGAATTGGAAATCAACCCTCAAAATCAATAGGGTTCAGTCTAAACCCCAAACCAAGAGATTTACAAACGATGAACCAGAACCAAGTCTTTTCTGTTGGCATGCTAATATAAGCTGCTGGGTTATGCCCACATGCCAAAAAGGCAAATATGTCAAAAATAAAAAACAAGAGATCCAGGGGCCTTATCAGTCATCTGAGTCCTACAGTATTTATTTTTGTTGTTGAAATATGAAGTGGAGATAATAATGTCAGTCATCCCTACAAATTTGAGTAAAAAATAGTTAAGCATAATGATAAGTAAAGTTTGTCGGGACCACGAGTTGATCATTCCTAGACCAAGTTTCAGTTAAATCGGCCTATACGAACTTGATTTTAAGTTTGATTTTTTTTTTTCAAAATGGTGGCCGTGGCGGCCATATTGGATTTCTCATGTGAGGACCATGAGTCAATCATTTCAACCAAGTTTCAGTTAAATCAGCCAAGCAAAACTTGACTCTAAGTTGGAAATAGTTTTTCAAAATGGCGGACATATTGGATTTCTGATCGACCCGAAAAAGAAAAAAAAACTTTGTCAGGACCACGAGTCACTAATTACTACCAAGTTTCAGTAAAATCGGCCCAGTAGAATTTGACTTCAAGTTTGAAATTGTTTTTCAAAATGGCGGCTGTGGCGGCCATATTGGATTTCTGATTGACCCGAAAAATAACAACACTTTGTCAGGACCATGAGTCGATCATTTCAACCATGGTTCAGTTAAATCGGCCCAGTAGAGCTTAACTTTAAGTTTGAAATAGTTTTTCAAAATGGCGGCAGTGGTGGCCATATTGGTTTTCTGATCGACCCGAAAAATAACAACACTTTGTCAGGGCCATGAGTCGACCATTCCTACCAAGTTTCAGGTAAATCAACCCAGTAGAACTTGACTTTGAGTTTGAAATAGTTATTCAAAATGGCGGCCGTATTGGCCATATTGGACTTCTGATCGACCCCAAAAATAACAACACTTGGGCAGGGATCGGCCGGAGATGTCAGTAACATTCCCATGACCTTTTTCCGCCGATACAGGAAAAATTTCAAAGCAATCTTTCCCATCATGAAAATTAACGTCAAAAACGACGATGATGTCGTTTTTCCACTTTCCGTTTGGCAAATATTAACGTTAATGTAACCTCATCGTTTCTCAACGATAACAAAAGAATCGTTTTTACGCCTTTTCAAAATTGTGCTAATGTAATTTCTTGTCTCAGATTGTGTCATAAATAACGTCATCAAGTTTTTTTGAGTAAAATATAAATTTTCATTGGGGCCTGTCTCCTGTCTAGGGGTATTATTGGACAAGCAATGTTGGAAAGTAATTTTTGTACTGGTTATAACTTTGAAAACCACATGAGTGCATCTCACAATAGCTGATACATAACAAATAAAATAAAAAAGTAAATATAAATGTGTATTTTCTGTAGATTAATCAGGGATCGAGACTAACTTTTTTGCTTGGTAATCCACAGGACTAATTGAAAAGATTATTTACTAGTCCTTTGTCAATGTAAAGTTCTATGAGATTTCCTGATCAGGAAACATTGCGATTTACAGCATGAAACATCAAAAGAAGACTTAATATAACTACTGCCATAAAAATATGGTTACGTTATAGGATTTTTTTTGACAATTATCATGCAATATATATTATTTAAAGCATTTTTCTAAATTTTAGAAAGTAATATTGTTATTTTATAATCATATTTTTCACAAGTCCAAAGGTCCAGTTAGGTGATTCACTGGTCCTTGCTGAAATCAACTAGTCAAGGACTAGTGTGACCAAGACTCGACCCCTGTTAATTAAATACATTTGTAATGGAACTTATGTGCATTGATAATGAATCCGGAAATAAAATAGTTTAGTATTTGAAGGGGGCATGGCTATATTCAATCTTGAACTTGCTGCTCAGACATGGAGTAATTAGAAGCACCTTAACACAGAAAAGTTGTTTGTCAGCATTAATTCTGGACTCATCAATTTTGTGGCAAACAAGTGACAAACATATCACTACATACTCTGGGTTTCTTGACATATTTGAACGATATGATTCGGTCATGGCAGATAGGGGGTTTATATTCTAGAAGAGTTGGGCAGAACTGTTTATTCCTCCGGGTGTAGGAGAGCTTCTCAAATGTCAAGAGCTGAAGTGAATCTTACAAAGGCCATTGCAAATCAGAGAATTTACATTGAGCATGCAATCAGATGAATAAAAACCTTCAGGATCCTCAAATTTGAGGTACCTCCTTCTCTTGTGCACCACTTGGATGATATTGTAAAAGTGGTTGCTGGAATTTGTAATATGCATCCATCTCTACCGAGGTATAAGTAAATAGTAATTTTATCAGCAGCACCAGAACCTGTTCCTCAATATATCCCACTATTGCTTTTCATGATCATCCAAACTTTCAATGTTTACAAATTAATGTTGTGTTTATATCAGTCGCTGGTTCACCTGCCCTAGCACTGTGTTTCCAAATATAATCCAGTTTTGATATATGTGAGTCAAACTTTTACTCTTAAGATCCACAAAGCTTCAACTCTTCTTTAACAAAAGTACCAGGTATTTTTAGGGCAGTAATAATATATTGATATGTGCATCTCTGTATCACAATATTTTGTTTAGAGAACATGTATCCAGTGATACATATGTGTATTTATATTTAATAATTTGTAATTAAAAGTGCAAAATTTGACATTCTCAGGGTCTATATGCACACTGACACTGCTAGGATCAAATTACAGTGTACTGCAAATATTCCTAAGTATCCCCAATAATTAAATATAGTGTGAAACACTTATCAGACATACAACTACAACTGTGCGTGGGTGGTGTCTGGTCAATCGTGTCAGTAGTTCGGTTGATCTGATAATAGTAGAAATATGACCAGCACGGAGACCTGGCTCTCCGGATGATTGATCAGGCAAATGGGAACTGGACAGGTCTTTATTAATATTCCAGCCCAAAAAAAGGGAAAATTTACAATTATCTTAATACCTACTGTATCCATCTCTCCCAATACTCTATCTGAACCTTATTGAGTTATCGGTAATACTTGGACATGAAATTGTGCAAATATGGTTAAAATATAAAGCACATTCTATCAAGAGTTCTAATTGAATATCAATTAAGCAAGAATATAATAATATATATATATTATATACATGCATNTGGTTTCATAGCCGATTTTACTGCTCCATTTTCCTTGCAACAGCAAGCCCACACTGTATGCGAGTCGCCCTTCATTTTCTGTGACAACACGGTGTACATTTGGCTGACAAAATATAGCCGATGCAGTTGATATGGAATGGTAGTAAACTTCCTGAAAGTGACCAGACTGAAAATACTCATAAGCCTTTCCGATTTTGTAATCATTTAGAATAGTCTGTACATATATAAACGGTCCCAGTTTCTCCACGACCCACCCAGTGTGTAATAACAATGGGTCCGGTATGTCCATCGTCTACATGTAACAAATTAAAGTAATCTCCCTGCTTTGTTTTAAAATACAGGCATCAGTTTGAACACAGACTTAATTTAATTCCGTGGTTTGGACAAGTGGTAGCTTAATCGTAAATGCAGCAAAACATAATGCCGACAGCCATTTCTTGCTTCTGTCTTTTGACAAACCGCGCTTGGAAAACAAATCACGTAAATCGGGAAGTTTCCATGTTATAAAATCATCTAAAGTAAGATTCTGATCATTAGGATCCGTTGTCTATAAAATATATATAACGTTCAATACAAAAAATAAGTGTAAATCTAAATCATGTCTCATGCGAGGCCCGTCTCATGTCGAACTGTCAAATTTGTTTACACTGGCGCTAGATTTTTTTTCTCCTATGACCTCTGACCCGTGCCGCCATCTTGGATGGGTTGATATGTCTATAGTTAATAAAACTAGTACCTGTAGTGGCGTAGGAATATATATGCTCTCACAGTTTTGACCAATCCCAGCACCTTTAGGTTTTGTTCACGTGTGTAATACCATATTTATGACATGGCCGTATGACATAGTAAAATGGGTCAGTTATGTGATAAACAAATTCTCTGAATAGCATTTAAGAAATATTTTAAGGATATATTTCTCAAGGAATGAAATAATATTTAAAAGTTGGACAGGATTTACAAAATTCACAACCAGGATTTCATTCAAACCAGTTCTCTGCAAAAGACCTCCAAAAATGCAGCTTTTTTTCTTAAGTAACCTTTCCAAGACACACTTGGAATCAATATAGATAGTTCAATAACAAAGTGACACTTTTGAGCAGCAAATGTCCTTCCCAAACACTGAAAGAAAATGGTTTGTTTACTGATGTAAGTCCCAAGAAAATTCCTGCACACACAGTATAGTATAAGTATAATCATCAACACATTCTGCTATGGAATAAATTCCACATTTGAATTCAGTAAGTGATGGCAATACCAGCGTTCACATGTATACGTAATTCTAGCCTGGGTTATGTCTTGAGGTGTTCAGGCTTATTGTCTTCACAGACAGTGAATGCCTGGCTGTCTTTAACTTCAGGAGAAGTCGTACCCCTCAAGCAAAGACACAAGGACTTTCCAGAGGCTGTCACATGTACCAGATGTTGTTGTGTTCTATCAATCATTGATGTCCAGGCCATACTCTGAATACAGGTCTCTGGTTCTAACACCATCAAGCTCAGCTGAAAATAATACACAAAATCATTCTTGATTGACTAAACAAATCTATTGGACTTCTATATATGGTCACATTCATTGGGTGATGAATTGAGTTGGTCTATATTGTTTTCAAGTCATGATTAAGACCACCTCAATGTATCACTATATCAGTTTGAAAATAGAAAGATTTAATCCTTATACCTTCATTTAACAAATTCAAATTGATTTGACTTCTTTTTCCTGAAGACCAGCTTAATTCATCACCCCACAAACTTGTCCATAGATAAATTTCCTTCCATAAAATTAAGGAAATTCACTAAAACAATCAAACTGCAAAGTAGTGATGGGCTGATGATCGAAAATTGATCGGTTTGCTCTTTTTGATTCCAATTATCGATTACAAATTTCTACAACAATATAATCAGTTCATTATTGAAATCAATGGACAATCAATTTAAAATCATAATGTACAAATGGTTTGTAATCAGAAGTAGTAAATTTAAACCAGTTGATGGTTGATTGCATAATTGGTTGATAATTTCATGTGAATTGATTCCGAAGCAGAGTGAGAACACTACTGTTACATGGACAGAGTTGTTAATTATACACAGCAGGCTTCATTTTTTTTTATGAAAATGAATTTTTGTCAGCTTTCATCCTTTATGTCAATCGTATAGTAAAAATTCTTAGATTAAATGACTTTCAATGCAAACTATATATTGTATATATTTGACACTTTGGTTTTAATGACACTGTGACTGAACTGATTTGCTTTTGGGAAACATGACATATTGCCTACAAATTCCCTAATGAACTAATTTAAATATTCATGTCTCTCCCCAAAATTGCAGCAAACACATGACCATCATGCTATTGTTTTGATTTAATAATTCTCAAATAAGTGTACCACAAATATAGATTCAGAGTATAATTTTTCAGGTGGAAACTGATTGTTCATGCTTCAATGTAACAATATTTACCTAACTTTAACTATTAGATAAAATAGAATCAGTCCTAAGAATCAATTGAAAGTTATATGGTTAAATATCAATGATTACTTACATATCCTGCCCAGGACCATCTGGCCAACATCTTTGATTTCATTATACTGGTGCATCATATCCATGTGTTTCTTTAGTTCAGTCACATCATGGCCACTGCAGCACAAAAAACAAATATGTCAACACTAAAGTAAAGAGGGATGTCAAACTGTCAAACGTTGAGATAATGTCAATACTGTTAAACAAATACAAGTTCAGCAATGTAGCACACAGATAATAATGTTAATACAGGAGCACATATAGATAAGGTCAACACTGTAGCAGAGATAACGTCAAAACTGTAGCACTAAGAAAATGTCTGTACTGTAGCACAGTACAAATGACAACATTGAAGCACATAGACATAATGCCATTATCAATACTGTAGCACAGAGAAAATGTCAATATAGAAGTACATAGAGATAATATCAACACTTAAGCACAAAGATGTCAACACTGTAGCACAGATAATATTAACACTGTAGCACATAGAAAATGTCAATATAAAAGTACATAGAGATAATATCAACACTATAGCACAGAGAAAATATCAATAATGTCGCACAGACAAAAATGTTAATACTGCAGCACAACAAAATGTCAACACTGTAGCCAAGAGCTAATGTCAACACTGTAACGTCACAGAAAATGTAAACATTGTAACGTCACAGAGAAAATGTCTTTACTGTACTGAAGCACATGCATGGACCGGAGACGAGATCCTATAGAAGGATCTTGGCTCCCACTATGAAAGGATCTTCATCAGATCTACAAAAGAGGCCTGCCAAAATTCTCTGAACAGTCTCAAAAATAAACATGAACAACTAGAGATCAAGGGGAATATACAAATTAAATTTGAGGAAGATCCCTCCAGTACTTTCTGAATAATGGTGACATGTACATTGAAGCACGACTATCAAAATTCAAGATGGCCAGCTGTCGACAATTTTGTTAATCAGGAGAGTCTCAAAAATAAAAGGACAAAATTTTGCCATCGAAGCGCATAGACAATGTCAACGTTAAAGCCCATACTGAAAATGCTAAAACTGTAGCACAGAGATGTCAACACTGTATCATAGAGATTTCAACACTTTTGCCCAGAGATAATGCCAGGATTTATAATACCAACACTTTTGCCCAGAGATAATGCCAGGATATATAATACCAACACTTTTGCCCAGAGATAATGCCAGGATATATAATGCCAACACTGTAGCCCAGAGATAAATTAAAGTCAACACTGCAGACATGGAGGTTAAAAGTGCATGATATTTACTCAACACAATTTATAACAAGATTTCAACATAAAATCGCAATCAAGTCAAATAGAACTGTTATCTGAAGCATTATATGACCCCCATAATTGCCACCAATGCTACCTTATTTTTTCTATTTAAATCAATATTTGAAGAAGCAAGGGTATAGAAGAAGACAAAGCTTCAGAAAGAAGGCTGAAACCATAAAGAAGTTACAAAGGCACAGGTTCAGATGATAAATAAAAAGTTTGGTTGTAATCCATTTTGCGCTTTATGAGCAGCTGGCTGGACTGGTTAAGCAAAGGGCCATAACTCTCCAATATCAACATGTCGGCCACACTGTTTATGCAGAAGTTTACTTGATGGGCTAAATGTCTGCAAAGTTTGTTGCGGAAACTCAAGAGTAAATCCAGGAAAAGACTTATCTACAGATCAACAAACATACAATCAACACCATCCAAGTTACATACCCCAGCAACAAAGTTTGGGGTTTAAATTAAAGATTCTGACCACTGTCACAAATACTTTTGTAATCTTTACTTTATATTTTAATATGATTCTGTTGTAATTGCCAAAAGTTAAACTGAAAGGATAAGAACTTCTGTAAAACCCTACATAACAATACTTAAAGGGTGTTCATTGGTTGCCAAACCTTGGGGATGTCACTAATAAGGAAACAATTTGAGGTGTGTCTTCATAAATTATTTTCATTTTAATCATGATTTCAAAACCTAACAATTTTCGAAGAGATTGAAGTAAGGAAAAGTTTGATTATATAGAATTCTACCTATTTTTGAGATTGTCAATATCCTTCTGTACAGTTTTTGTCCTGTCCACCAGCTTCTGTATTTCGCTCCTCAGTACATCAGGGTCAGACATGGCAGTTTTCTTCTGGCTGCTGGCTTGATCATTGAACTACAATGACATAATAACAGTATATGACATCTTCTTCTTACTGATCTACCAATTAAGAACATTCACATTCAAACAAGGTAAACTCGCACATGTTTCAGTCTAGATCTGTGAAAGCAGCTTTCATATAAACCGCATTATTTTCTCGTCATTTAAAACAAATTTGTTCATTGTTCAATTTGCCCCCTCGGTTTATTGAAAATGTTAACTATTATAAATATTAAAGATTTCCCTTCATTCACAGTCTGATTTTATTTCACAATGTCAACTCTTGATTTTTTCTGCATATTATAAAAGTTTTCAACAAAATTTTATTTAGGTCACATTATCTTGTACTAAGCATAATACATGTATATTACAGGTCTTTTTTGCACTATTTTTGGAAAAGGACCGGATGCCATAGAATTGGGAAATTGGGCCGCTGAAAACCAAAATACGGAAAATTCAGAATATACTGGAAATTGATGATTATTTTATTCTAAAAAAGATCATCTAGGAGCAAAATAAACTTATTTTTAAAAGATTCTCTCCCCAAGACTTTAAGTTGCATTGTCAACTGTGTTAAGTTTTACTAAAGGTGTAAATATTCTTTTTTTTTCATTTTGAAAACTTAAAAAGAATTTCTGGGGTATGTTCCATGGGAATTGGGCTTAATTAACACCCTAAAAAAACCTGAAATGCATGTTCTGTGTAAAATGCATGTCACTGATTATTACTTACTGGAGATTTAAAGGAACCACAAGATCTCCTCTTCATTTTCACTTTCCTGTAATTAACCAATAAAAAAGTATGATTTGTGAAATCATCCAAAAATGTCAAGTTTCCTCAAACTTCAGTTTTATGGAGATATACATCAATGTAAGATAATCATAATTGTTGCATTGACTAGTGGTTTTTCCCATTAATCAATTTGTCGACTATTGGTCAGTTAGCTCAATAAACTGATTAATCAACAACAGATTTGCATGAAAGTCCAAGAAATTGTGTGTTAATTTCTTATAGAGTTTTAAGTAGAGTGATTCATGATTTTATGCCTATCTTCTTGCTGAACACTAAAAACTTCACAACGATAGTTTAGCCTTGATGGGTTTTTTCCAGACGCCCTGTTGGACTCATCACTGTCTTATAAATTACATGTAGGACTATAAATTACATGGTATCTCTTTTTGTTTTAAATTTGCTTGTTTGTTTGGGGTTTAATGATTACTCCCAACAGTCAGGATGATATGAGGACCGGTACCTATAGGGAGACGCTGCCAGATTTTTTTTTTAAAGTAGACAGAAAAGAAAGACATCAGAAAAATAGGAAACAAAAAGATGTTGCATGAGGAGAAGCAGATCAATTTTGTTTCTTCAATGTCATCTGTGCAGACACAGAATAAAACCGTCAATCCTGCAGGGGGAGGGGGGCACATAAGTTGCTTTTTACACATGATACACATGTGTAACACATGATACACATGATACACATGGTACAGATGATACACATGACACATGGTACAGATGATATACATGATACACATGGTACACATGATACACATGATACACATGACACATAATACACATGGTACAGATGATACACATGATACACATGGTACAGATGGTACAGATGGTACAGNATAACACTTGATTTCCCTCGCTCATGTAATGTAAAGTTAAAATCGGGGGTTTGAATGGTCCACGGAGGAACATCAGATATGTTAAATTCAGCTATGTCCGTCAATTTTATGTTGAGTTCTTGCAGGAAATTCAAAATTCGGACCAACCAAATGTTGGCAGATGTTTTCAAACCCCTGATTTTAACTTTACATTACATGAGCGAGGGAAATCAAGTGTTATGCCCGAAGAACACAAATCCTCCTTTCGGGAAGGCATTTCGAATTACCCTTCTCATACACAACTTTACACCGATGGCTCCAAAGAAGGTCAGAAAGTGGCAGCAGCCTGCTGTACTGCCAATACTTGCACTTCAGTCCGACTACCAGACGGCGCCTCCATCTTTTCTGCTGAAGCATGCGCCATTGGCTTGGCCTTCGACCATATCGATGAACACCGCATTAAAAAGGCAATTATTTGTTCAGACTCTCTATCTGTCCTACAGAGTTTACAGTTACGAGATCCTAAAAACACAATCGTACAAAACCTTGCTCTTCGAATATCTCGTATATTAAAAAAGTCTAAAATAACTTTACTATGGATTCCGAGCCATGTCGGAATAAAAGGCAACGAATTTGCTGACAGGGAAGCAAAAAATGCATTGAATCTCGAACAAACAAATATCAAACTACCATACACAGATTTTAAACCTACTATTCGTACAGCCATTCAAAATGAATGGCAGAAACGCTGGTCTCTGGAGACCAACAACAAACTTTTTAAGATACAACCGAAACTTAAAACATCTATTCCCAGTCGGAAAGATCGTAGAGAGGAAGTTGTCCTCGCTCGGCTCCGCACTGGGCACACATATCCTACTCATTCGTACCTTTTAAAACGAGAAGATATACCTTCATGCCACGCATGTGACACTCCATTTACAGTGGAGCATTTTTTAATAGAATGTTCCGATTTTAAACACATTCGTGATAACTACTTCCGAGTCCCGGATATGAAAACACTTTTCAGTTCCGTGGATTCGAAGGCATTATTTAACTATTTGAAAGACATCGGTCTATTTTATAGACTCTGATGTCTTTTAACCCACCTTATCATTTTTGACGTTATATATATATCGCATATTCCATATCATCTATTCGTTATCTCTTTTATTATTTTAACCCCCTTTTATTATTTTTTATTATCTACACATACAATGCGAATACTTTTAAAATGAACCATTTTATCTGATTTTATCTTCGCTATTCACATGTTTGTTAAAAAAGTAAAATAAATAAATAAAGCACCATGGCCCTAAATGACCACAGCCGTCGATAGGCCGTTAAACATAAACAAACAAATAAACAAACAAGGTACAGATGGTACAGATGGTACACATGGTACAGATGATACACATGGTACAGATGGTACAGATGATACACATGATACACATGGTACAGATGGTGTAACACATGATACACATGACACATGATACACATAATACACATGGTACACATGGTACACATGGTACAGATGATACACACGGTACACATGGTACAGATGATACACATGGTACAGATGGTGTAACACATGATACACATGACACATGATACACATAATACACATGGTACACATGGTACAGATGATATACATGGTACACATGATACACATGGTACACATGATACACATGGTACACATGGTACACATGGTGCACATGATACACATGGTACACATGGTGCACATGGTACAGATGACACACATGGTACACATGATACACATGGTACACATGATACACATGGTACACATGGTACACATGATACACATGGTACACATGGTACACATGGTACACATGATACACATGGTACACATGGTACACATGGTACAGATGACACACATGGTACACATGATACACATGGTACACATGATACACATGGTACACATGGTACACATGATACACATGGTACACATGGTGCACATGGTACACATGATACACATGGTACACATGGTACACATGGTACAGATGACACACATGGTACACATGATACACATGGTACACATGATACACATGGTACACATGGTACACATGATACACATGGTACACATGGTACAAGCTTTGTTTCAACATCATGTGACTACAAAGTTGATGGGTGATATATACCTTTTGTGAATCCTATCTGAACATATATTGTGTCTGATCTTGGATGACAATGTTGTGTCTTGTATTTAATAAGAGTTGCAGGATCTTCATGATTATTGTGGTCACAGTGATTCCTCTGTAGCTAGGTCTAGAGTGTTTGAAGGGTCCATTTTCTTAAATATTGGCAAAGACTAGGTCTTCTTTCATTCTCAAACAACAAATATACAAATTTGTTATTGTTCAATTCAAAAGTGGTAATAGTTAACCACTATTGAACTGAACAATAACAAGTTTAAATTTGTAACATGAAGCTTAACTTCGAGCTCTTCTTATTTGTAATTGGGATAATTCTGACCAGCTGAAACAATTAATTTCAGAGTAAAGTTAAGATGAAAAGACGAAGGTTTTCGACCGATATTTTGTGTTTACAAAGTGACGGTAAATGCATAATTTTAGAGAGTTTGTTGCCAACTGCGTACAGTAGACGTACGCAGTTAAGCCGGCCCCGTATTCATGAAACTGTTCTCATGGTCAAGCATGAATTTCCTGCTCAAACCAACTTTCTTGTAGTTGTACGTTCACTTAAATCATGTAATACGGTCAAAGAGTCAAGTGTAAAAATTGACAACGGTATTCGGCTGTAATTCTCTACATAATTCTTCCAAATCATTGACAAATGTTATCTTTTTCTTGATTTATCACGGAAACAAGACATTGAGTGTGAGCACAATATATTAGTGTGAGCATGAGAATGGTTTTTCGATTTTGATTTCTCCTCCCAATCCGACAGAAATAGAATCAAGTACACAGTGATCATACAAACGTATATTTAACTGATATTTATCATTAGGCCTAAGTTACAATCAATAAACGTCTGTAATTGCAACGCCTTATCCCTACTGCAAAATTCGCAGATTTCGAACTTACCGGGCTGTCATTTAATTTACAAGCGTATTTATGAAAGTGAAAGCGAAAGTAAAATAAAAAACCGATCTGTCGGAAATATCCGGCGGACTGATGTTAAAAATTCACGATACTGAAGCATAAGTAAAACTAAGTTGTAGATATATCAGTGATGAAAAGTGGAATTCATAGAGTGGTTATTATGGGTATTTCTCACTTGATAATATTTTAGATGCAGTATGTAATTATGATACAAGCACGGGCACACCGAAGACATGCTCCCCTACCGTATGTTGCTGTCAAACGTTTGTACAACTAGGATTATTTTGTTTGAAGCGTCGCGTTGCCGCCTGTCATAACTTGTTGGGGAAGAGAGATCGCGTCACCGGTAGATATAAACTTAGCCAAGGATTGGAGATGGCATTGTCTGCCATGAGAAACATGGATTTTAAGCCAACCGTGCAAGTGCTGCTGGGATCATTGCTTGCATTTCCTTTGACCTACTGTCTCAACAAGACAACTGCCATGGGAGATCACCGTCTGATTTTGTTAGCTGGCGTCATAACGTTGTTTTCGTTTGTGATGATCGCTTATACCTTTTTCAGGAAGCATAGACTTAACAATGAGCCGTTGTTTTACGGTAAAAACCCTATATGATTGTTCCTCAATTCCTTGTTATGAAAAAGAGCGTTAAATTTGTTCAACAATTTCAATTAACAATGTAATAGTATTACATCAGGTCCAGTACACTCTGCCGATTGAGCTATATAGCTATAAAGACCTATATAGCTATATACACCTATAAATTATAGCTGTATTGAGCTATATTTTCTCAGATTTCAAATTTCATTAAATTAAAGCAAGGTCGCATAAAACAATAAGGTTAATGGTAATGTTGACTACAAAAAGCATACATTTAGATGTTTATTTTCATTTTTCATAAATGTAAAATTTCCGATTTCTTTACATCATTATTTTTTAAAAAGAATACTTATATTTAATGTCTTTTGTTATCAACCTAATGATACAATCTTCTTTTACATGCGACTTTTTTCCGTTTTCCTTAAAAAAGAAAATCACTTGAAAATAGCTCAAAAGACCTATTTCAGATAGGTCAATAGAGCTATTATAGGTCTTTACAGCTATATAGCTCAATCGGCAGAGTGTACTGGACCTGTACATTGTTGAGTTGTTTATTGAAATTGTTGAACAGTTTCAATTCTAATACCCTTATTGTGACCAGTAAAACTACAAAGAAACAGAATCTTAATGAGAATGATACATAGGAGAAAACTATATATCAAATATCCAACTTAAAATTAATTTCTGGATAAAGATGGCCACAGCCTCTGATTAAATATGAATATAATTATAAACTATTTATTTTACACTACAACAATTATTGAACAAGTTATATAAACTGATATATATCACTCATGCTGGCTCGGATGTTGGCGTGCAGGAGGTCTTAATGTGGGAGGAAATTGAGGTACCCAGAGAAAACCGATGTGGTCAGGAAGGTGACCTCATACCTTTTCATGTGCAATCAGGGATCAAACCCTGGCCACCTTGGTGAAAGGCCAGTGTGTTATCCACTACGCCACCCGACCACCTTCTATACTTCCCCCACTCCTACCAACTTCATTGTGGAAGTGTGTGTGTGTAATGTGTATAACTTTGACCATATCAGTTATAACTTGAGTCCTATGGGACCAACTTTGTTGATTGTTGTTGTGAAGTATAGGGGATATATTTCAAATCAAATGGCCAACTATAATTTTTGGGATTCAAGATAGCCACCATGGCCACATATTGGCTGAGGTATTATATTTTTGGGATTCAAGATGGCCACCATGGCCTCTGATTGGCTGGGGCATTAAAAAACTTCAATGGTCAAGCAGGGATGAGGGGGTATACAGAATGTGGTATTCCCACAGATTGTGTTATTAGTTTACATTGCAGTTAGTACGTGGTAACCAAGTTTTTGAGTAAAAGTGATGGCTGAGATATTACAAATTTACTGCAATAATATGTGTTTGGATTAGATCAGATCAGTGGACCCAACATTTAACTTAGAGTGACATACAACTCCCCTATTCTGTATTTCTATTCCATCAGTAAGGCTTTTACAGTTACCTGAGTATGCTGGCAGTCAATTTGATTGACTTAAAGTGGTTATAAGGCTGTCACATAGCATCAAAGGGGTTGGAGAAATTAATATGTTTCAATAATTACAGAATAATTATAGATTTCTTGAAGGAAGTGGGGTAACCTTTTGACATTTCTATGGGGGAGATTCTGTATTCATGCTCAAAATTTAAAACATTAATAAAATGATAAGCTCTTTAAAATAACATATTTTGAGTTGTCATTTCCCCCCAAATTTTTTTATTCCTGGAAATATTTAATTTAAGGATCTAAAGGTAAAATCAGGAGTCTCTCTTCTAAATAGGAGGAATTGCCCAGTATGACTCCTTTACTGGGGTAATCTGAATTCTGTGATTTTGTCTTTCTACTTATCCCCAAATATTGGACCGTAATTAACATCTTTGTCATGTGAAGACTTTTTTGAAAGTTATTATGAGTATTGCATTATACTATTTAAGTTTTCAACTATAAAAAAATTGTAAATGATTTGTTAAGCATTTTTCTAGATTTTGAAACATCATTGAGCCAAAAGTATAATTTACTCTACCTTTAATTTTCCTTTTAATACAATATAAATGAAATTATTTTCAACAGAAATCTCTACACACTAATATTACTGATACATTGTTAGATATATAGTCAGTGACAGCCAAGTTTAAGATACTAAGTTCAACTAGCTATGTGCTTTTATATATATGTCTTTAATAAAAAAAAAAGTAATGATCTTTTTAGCATGGAGCCTGTTTGCCTTCACATCGTGTGTTGACCTGATCATAGGTTTAGAGTTGGATGGCCACATTTCTGGATTTATGGAGTTTTATTTCAAAGAGGGTGAACCATACCTGCGTACTGCCCATGGAACCATGATAAACTGGTGGGATGGTACAGGACAATTTGCCATGTATCTGATCCTCATAACACTCCTTGCTAACAGGTAAACCTGTATGTCATTATAAGACATTGCAGTCTCTGTACTTAAGTTATTTTGAAACATTTCAATATGCATGTAGATCAGAACAAAATTTTAAGCCAAGTAAGAAAGTTTACTCAATGCAAGCTCCTCAACTTGAGATCTGTCTTATGTTTTAAATATCAATTTAGAAGGTATTAAAATCAAACAATAGATTTCAATCTTATCCTAATAAATTACCAAATCATTCAAATTCAGGAATAAGCATATGCTTCTTGTTTTCATCAATATCTTATGATACTGGTGGAAGGCCACAAACACCAGTCGGTCATATAACTGGGACCCTGTTTATCTTCGACTGTAAATTGATATTTTGTGGTTATTGTAAATTGTTTAATGTTATGTTTTTAATTGTTTAAAATTGTCGGTTGTAACCATGAGAGCCCTTGATTAGATCAATCAAATTTTGTGTCGTTTGTGAACTAGGAGCTTACCAAAATACTCACTTAGACCTATACATTGTTTTATAGAAAATATAATCATGAGTGCTTTCATTTCTAAATTTGTTGTTATAAGTTTTTGGTAATTTATTATGAAAAAGGGGAAATACTCCACCACAATTTTAGAGGTGAGTTGACTGAGTTGGACCTGAACCCAGTATATATGCTGTATGTGTTTTTATAGGAGGAGATGCCATGAAGTGTGCCTGTACTGGGTCGGGTCTATAGGAAACAGTATGATTGTTTTACTGCTTGGTGGTGCAACTGGTGAGTCTCATATTTTTTAAAGTATTTAAAACTGTAGGTTGATTATTATCACATATATATAGCATATACTAACATATAATTCTATATTTATAATTTTCAAAAAAAGAAAATTAAACATACCTCCATTAGAAACTAGTAATATTTCATCTGTCCATAATAGATAAACATCAATAAAGTATAAAAATAAGAAACTGTTATTAATAAATGGAAATGCTAAAATTAGATAAATATTTCGTCACGCCAAAATTTGTATTGGTGTAATTCAAATTTCATAATGGAAGTTGTTGAATTGCTAAAGCATTAAAGACTTTAGTAGATGTAGATTTGATATTATATTGTTTGTTATATTATTATTAACTATGTTTGCTCTTTTGCAGGTACATTCAAGGTCCGGGGGTCTTACTTTCTAAACATTCCTTATGTTGTTATACCTATCTGGGCAGGTGTTCGCTGCCTTCGACAGTCCAACAAAACCAGAAGCCAGCAACGGGTAGGATACCTTGTAAAAATAAATTCTCTGCATAATGTTCAAGAGAGAAATATTGAAGTAAACATTGAAATCAAAGACAGCATCCTTATCTTTACATCACAAAGTTTGTTTTAAATAAAATTGAATTTGTTAACAGTTTTCATAACAACCACACACAAAATTTTTACATATGAATGTTTGTTCAATAACAGTTCAGATGTATGAACAGAAACAGTTTAAATCTCCCAACTATTTACATTTTCAATTTTTTTTAGAATAATTTTGTTTTTTCTTTTTTCAGTTAATATGTAAATCAGGATATGAGCTCAGTTTGTTAAACCGACCATGGGACTTTGTCTTTATTGTGCTTTTTGTCCTGGCTATCGCATTCTCCCTGTTTAGAGGAGTGGTGAGTGTAAATTTGTTCATGACTTTACTTTATAAAATTATCTTCAAAAAGGTTACATTCATCTGAAGTATTGTAAAATATACACTTCAGTCGGTGAATGTATGCCAGAAAGTTTTGTGAGAATACAATGTTCTTCCAGTAAAGAAATAAGTTTGATATAATGTTATATAAAATAATACATGTTTAACCTTTGCTTAATATAACCTATACTGTTACAGGTAGCCCTAGGCTTGGACCATGATTATGTCAAGGCTTACCTAAAGAATTACGAGCCCTACCTCAATGACCCAAATATGTTTTCAAAAATACAGGTACAGTCATTACTAAACAAATATATATATATGTACACAACTTATTCCGTCTTTGCGTATTGCAGAGTTATCTTCTCTTGAGAGCAGGTATTGATTGTTACGTCACTTGTTTGTGAGAGTAACGTCATCAATTTTTGAGAAAACGACGTAATTTTCTCACACAGACCACTGCTCCCAAGAGAAGATAACTCTGCAATATGCAAAAACGGAATATCAACATATATTAACATTTGCTCTGCATCCTTCCATTGCAATGCACTGAGAAGGCAAACGTTGTTGTGAGACTGTAACAACCTTTGCTATTGTAACATCATCAATCTCTATTATGACGTCATCCATATCTTTGTTGTGAAGACTGAATTTATTATTCAAAGAACTGTTCGAAATAACTAAATAAAGTGTAACTATTATATCAATATGTAAACATAGATGATGAATATTTTAGCAGATATTGTTCTGGTTCTATATTAAGTTTGTCATCATAAGCAATGCGTGATATAGGACCATAACAACATTTGCTTAAGAATTCATTGCTTTAAATAACTACAAAATTACATGCAAAGTAGGGATGTCAAGCAAACAAATGACATGATGAAAAGAATAGTGTGAATTCTGTCCATGTGTGATTGAGAAAGGGATGTAGTATCTGAATATTGAGAAAGGGACCAAACTGGTACATGTAGTTTGATAAGCACCATTCCTGATAGGAATAATATGGAAAAGGGGGCACTTATAATGGGTAGTGTATAGTTTGAGTGGGAGTAAAAGGGGGCACTTATAATGGGTAATGTATAGTTTGAGTGGGAGTAAAAGTTGTAAATATTGTATGGTACGTGGCAGGAAAAAATAAATTATGTATGGTAGAGGTCACAAAAAGAACCTCCCTGTTCTCCTGCCTCTCCTACCCCAATAGTATACATGTATCTGAAGCAGTCGTAATTCAATAGATGATGCTGTTACAGTGTTGTATGGAATAAACTCAGTAAAGACAAAGACGTGTTCTGTAGTGTTTGTTTAATCACATTTTATCTTCCTTCCCTAGATGGTGACCTACCTGTTTTACTTTGTACCATACTATGTGTCGGCCATATACAGCCTGGTTAACCCCGGAGAGACCTGGATGTCTGACTGGGCAATTCTGAATGCTGGAGCAGCAGCTCAGGTAAGGTCTTACTGCAGATTGATATATATGTGGCAGCTTTTAATTGTACATAGGATTACTGTTGCCTTCTAGCTTCAAGCTAGAGGGAATTTCCCTCAGTGGTAGAGTGTCCGACTAGGAAGTATGGGATTGCAGGTTCAATCTCCGGTGGGAGCACACCACTCTCTTTCCTGTTACATACCCAGGTATATACATTAAGACACCCCACTCAGTTTTTTCCCCTCACTTCCATTATAGATAAAACATATGTGTTTGAAGACTTACCTACAATTTAAATGGGTTGTTTTATTCACATATTCTTTGCTCATCTATGCAGCAATATTGTCAAAATGGAACAGTTTGACAATATTCTGTTGATTTTGTCTGTTCAAAAAATGCACTGACAGGCGTAGCAACTAAAGCAAAATATTTGTATATTCATACATGCATTGAAGTTAAAAATATTGATGTTTTCTATTTCAGAGCCAAGTGGTTCATATCTTTGCATCATTCCACTGGCGTACGGTGGCATCAGGATTTGGCTCCCCAACTGACGTGTTTAACAGTCCTGGGCAGGTTTTCTGGTACACCAACCTTCTGCTTCTGGTTGTGCCACAGCTGTTTGCCTGGCGTTGCTACACTGATCAAGAATTTTTCTTCAGTGTGTATGATGGTAGCATTACCTCTGACAGATCTGGCCGTGTGAAGTATGCCGATGTGGCCACCTTCTCCGAGGTGACCACGAAGAAAAACTCCACTATGACTAATTTAGTGGATGGTGTTGTGACCTCTACAACCCAGGTCGAGGGTCGAGTGACCAGAAGCATGAAAAAAATGTCATAATGATAATGTGTCACAGAGTAAAAGCTCTATTGAAATGACAGTTTGCATAAAGAAACAAAAATATGTGGCACAACACATAAACAAATATCGTACAATCTTTTTTGATAGCATTACTAATTTTATAGAATTTTGCAATAATGATACAAAATGTATATTTTTTGAAGAGATTAGATAAATTGTTGCATTATTTTTGTAATTTAAGGTACATGTTCCTGGAAAGTCTTTTTGTCTGTAGCCATATTTATTTATATACAATGTATATGCCATAGTTTAGGTCGAAGAAGGTGACAAATGAACCTCACTTTCAATCCTAACATAAATCGAGGACATCCCTGTTAAGGCCTAGAGTATCAATGTTTGGCCAGTAGCTTGACAAGTCTTTTTAAGAAAGATGGCAATAACCTTCCCAAGGTCCTATAAGCATTACACATCAAAATCTTTTAACAAAGATTCATATTAAGGTTTAGAGTACCCAGGTAATTATATTAAGGTTTAGAGTACCCAGGTAATTATATTAAGGTTCAGAGTACCCAGGTAATTGTATTAAGGTTCAGAGTACCCAGGTAATTATATTAAGGTTTAGAGTACCCAGGTAATTATATTAAGGTTTAGAGTACCCAGGTAATTTTATTAAGGTTTAGAGTACCCAGGTAATTATATTAAGCCTGTAGCGTAAACGTACTTGGCTATATATTTTTTTTTAAATAAGTCTGACCTTGACCTACTTTGAAGGTCAAAGATATGTGTGCAAACAGAATTGAAAAGCAGTTGTGCCATACAGACCTAATTGGCCATTTGTTGTTTTTCATTTTATTTATCTTTTTTTATGTGACCCATTTTGGATGTACTTTACTTTTTATGCTAAAATCTACAGGATAAAATTTTAGTGCAAATAAGAAAAATTTACAAAAATTGTACTGCTATTGTAAGAATTCTTGAAAATACCAAATCAAAATTACATTGACTGTGGTTGATCAGGAGCGTGTCTGTGTTATTTGGAATAATTTCTACCCGAAGTGGAATAGATATTGTGTTCGGGGCAGATATGGATCAGCCCAAAATATAACATTGGATCTAAGTTTGGAAAATCTTCTGCAGAATTTTTTCAGGTGTGGCGAACAATTATTTAGGCATTTATTATCCACAAGAGGGATAGAGGAATGTAAAATAGCCCATATCTTATTCAAAGATATCTTAAATTACCTTGTATGTTAACATGCCACTTCCAGTGTGCTTAGCTTCGAGTTTTCCCAATTTCCAGAGATCTCAACTTCTCAAAATTACCATGTAACTTCCCTGAGTGTAATGATGTTGTCTTCTCATATGTGTAATGCTATTACATATAGTTGGTAAAACTTAGAGTCAAAATGATAAAATATTATGACAAATGAAATCCATGGACTAAGTGGCTTTGAATCATGTTGTGATAATACATAAGGATGAGATCTGTGTGTCCTTACACCTTGTATGTCTATATATACCTGTGTGTCCTTACATCTTGTGTGTCTATAGATACCAGTGTGCCCTTACATCTTGTGTGTCTATATTTATCTGTGTGTCCTTACATCTTGTGTGTCTATAGATATCTGTGTGTCATATTTATACAGTAACAAGTATTATATTCTAAAATAAACTACTGCAGCAGAGGGAATTCTTTTTTCATTTTTGATATAACTTTTATTTGTCAAGATTTTTTATGATAGTTTATTCTTTACTGACACTTTTTACATGTTTACTATTTTACATTTTTATACTTTTCTTGAATTATTTTCTTCATATTGGAAGGACATTAATGTAATAATTGAAATCATGCTCAGTCTTTTGATGAAGGGGGGGGATGTCTGTCCCACCCTACATGTATCCCCTCGCATTCCTATTCAGTGTCATCACTCTGGTGACTACATCTCTTAACAGATGCTGATCAACCTTTATACAAAGGTCAAGCACAAATATACCCTAAAGAGAATTTGTATTTTAAGGTTCCAAAGTCAAAACTAAAGGTTATCTTTACTCTGAAATTGTTAAACCACTTCTGTAACATATAGCAACAGTAATTTCATTTCTGAATGGATTTTTATCAAATTTTATACAAAGATCAAGGATACTTTGAATAGATTTGTGCAGTATATCAGGGTTCCAAGGTCAAATCAAAGGTCTGAAATACTTTAAATGTATTTTATGCCCCTCTTTATACAGACCTATAGCTCCTTGTTCATTTTTGAAACGTCTTTTTTTAATATGGTCAAAGGGAGGTCATCCCCCTTTTTTGTGTTCTTTAAAAAAAAAATAAGCCATATTAAAGCACCTTGTCATATTCTGTCTGCTTATGAAGTAAAATACAGTTTGGTTTCCTATTCCAGCACATGCTAGAAATTTTTCATGATTAAGAAGTATGACTGTTTTATAATAAGTCTAATTGGATGCTACATGACTTATGATAGGCGCACATTAATGTTTTACCCCCTGCGATACTGTTGCTATGTACATAATGTATCAGGTAATAGAGGTTAGAATTTTTGTTTTAGAGAGTCATTTTTTTATCCTCAATTCAACTTTTATGAGGCATATTTAAAATTGTTACCTTTTATAATCATTGGTAATTGTGTACATGGTGATTTAAATATGCCTATTTTGTGTTAATTTCACATTGATTAAATTTTTTATCAATGCAAAAATTAAAAATATATATATATATTGTTATAGGTTTTGTTTATTAAACCACAAAAGCATGCACTAATATATACTGTAATTGTTTAACATAACTGTTTTTTTAATATGCACACTTTCTAGACTCGGGTAATCTCCTTTTTTCTGTTTTGAACACAATGACAATCTAATCATACAAAAGTGGTGTATTGTTAACTTTACTTTTTGTACTTGGAAATTTTACAAGTAAACCATTTTGTTTCATATTTATAATAAAACTGGTGTGGTAAACTACTGAGTGTTTTTGTAATTTGTCAACCTGAACTGAACATCATATAACCTTCTTGCCAGAGGATAAATGTCTTTCTTTGATTCAATGTTGCCCAAATTACCAAAGTGAGGGGTGAGTGTTCGTTTTTGAAATAGGAGCTCACCTCATCTCATACTGTTATATACAGCTGACAAAAATCATTCCTGTTTATTATTTTGAATTGATTGCCAATAACAGATCTTTGTAATAATGGGGTAGCAGGACTGATCCAAAATTTATAGGATCCAAATAAAAATCACTAGCAGCAACAATCTGCTCATTAATTGAGTAGATTATTGCTGTTAGTGATATTTGGAACCTACAACTTTTGGATAAGATTTTCGCTCTTGATTAATCATGGTTCATTCAAGAAACGAATTTGTGTATCCTGAGACATTTAATGTGTACTTTTTAGCTCACCTGGTCCGAAGGACCATGGTGAGCTTATGCCATATTGCGTTGTCCGTCTGTCAACTTTTCCTTTAAAACGCTACTAGTTCTGAACGGCCAGGTAGATTTTGACTTGTGAGAGTAACGTCGATCCTTAGGCCAAGGGGACTCAATTTTGTATAAATGGTGGGTGTGACCCCCTGGGGGCAGAGGGGCGAGGCCCAATAGGGGAAATAGAGGTAAAACCTTCAAAATCCTTCTTCTACCGTAGGGATTAAGGAATTTTATCCTAATTTAGTCTGGAGCATCCTTGGGCCAAGGGGACTCAATTTTGTAAAAACCATGGGTTTGGCCCCCCAAGGGCCTGAGGGGCGGGGCCCAATAGGGGAACATAGCAAATTATTCTTTAAAATCCTTCTACTTCTGTAGGAATGACAGGATTTGGTCCATATTTGGTGTTGAGCATCCTTGGGTTAAGGGAAACCAATTTTGTATAAACGGGGTGTGTGGACCCCTTGGGGGCTGAGGGGCAGGGCCCAATATGGGAAATATAGCAAATTCTTAAAAATCCTTCTTCTGTAGGAATGACAAGATTTATTCCATATTTAGTCTGAAGCATCCTTGGGTGAAGGGGTACCAATTTTGTATAAACCATGGGTCTGACCCCCCAGGGGCCTGAGAGGCGGGGCCCAATAGGGGAAACATAGCAAATTATTCTTTAAAATCCTTCTTCTTCTGTAGGAATGAAAAGATTTGGTCCATATTCGGTGTGAACCAATTTTGTATAAATGGTGGGTGTGGCCCCCCTGGGACCTGAGGGGCTGGGCCCTATAGGGGAAATAGAGGTAAAACCTTTAAAATCCTTCTTCTACCATAGGGGTTAAGGGATTTTATCCTAACTTAGTCTGGAGCATCCTTGGTCCAAGGGGACTCAATTTTGTAATAAACGGTGGGTATGACCCCCTAGGGGCATAGGGGTGGGGCTCTGTTTGAAATTTGTTATATCTCAAGTACTGGATGGATCTTTCTGAAATTGCATATGTACTTACAGCACCTACCATGGAGTGCTATATCTTTACCTCATACCAATTATTTTAAACATATTCAGGTGAGCGATACAGGCCCTCTGGGCCTCTTGTTTTAATGAATGGCTTTCAATGTTTTGTTATGAAGGACTTTTCCAAAGTTTTATGTTGATATGAATTATTTTTTATCATAAATCTGTTGTCATTTAATTTTGTGTAGTATATTAATAAAAATCATTTTATCAGAAACCTTGGACCTGAAAAAGTGCACGATATTGCTGAAATACTACATGTCTTGAAAAGTCTGTATGATCCATGACAGACTTAACCTTATTTGTTTACAACTTCATGTTAACCCAGCTGTGCATATGAGTACACACATTCGCTTTTTAAGAAGAAAATAATTCTTCTCCAGAGCTGACATCAGACCATTGCTGGAAATGCGGATAAGCTGGGCTCATTGGACTTACTACTCGGCCACTCTTTAGAGAGCGATTGGAATATCAGGGGAGAGTGATTGAAATATCTGGAGAGTGGAGAGCGTGATTGGAATTAAAAACATGTACTTGTTACTTTTGTAGCAAACTTTTGTTTTAAGTATTAACATTAGCATACTGTGCTAGATTTTGTTACAAGAATATATTACCCTTTAAAGTGTTCAGAATACTATATACTTGAATTTTGCCTCCCCTGATATTCTAATCACTCTCCCCTGCTATTTCAATTACTCTCTCCTGATATTTCAATCACTCTCCCCTGTTATTCCAATCACTCTCCCCTGTTATTCCAATAACTCTCCCCTGATATTCCAATCACTCTCCTCCGTTATATTTCAATCAATCTCCCCTGATATTCCAATCACTCTCCCCTAATATTTCAATTACTCTCTCCTGATATTTCAATTACTCTCCCCTGATATTCCAATCACTCCCCCCTGATATTCCAATCACTTTCCTCTGTTATTCCAATTACCCTCCCTTGATATTCCAATCACTCTTCCCTCTCCTGATATTCCAATCACTCTCCCCTGATATTCCAATCAATCTCCCCTGTTATTCTATTTACTCTCCCCTGATATTCCAATCAATCTCCCCTGTTATTCCAATTACCCTCCCTTGATATTCCAATCACTCTTCCCATCCCTGATATTCCAATCACTCTTCCCTCCCCTGATATTCCAATCACTCTCCCCTGATATTCCAATCACTCTCCCCTGATATTCCAATCACTCTTCCCTCCCCTGATATTCCAATCACTCTCCCCTGATATTCCAATCAATCTCCCCTGATATTCCAATCACTCTCCCCAAATATTTCAATTACTCTCTCCTGATATTTCAATTACTCTCCCCTGATATTCCAATCACTCCCCCCTGATATTCCAATCGCTTTCCCCTCCCCTGATATTCCAATCAATCTCCCCTGTTATTCTATTTACTCTCCCCTGATATTCCAATCAATCTCCCCTGTTATTCCAATTACCCTCCCTTGATATTCCAATCACTCTCCCCTCCCGTGATATTCCAATCAATCTCCCCTGATATTCCAATCACTCTCCCCAAATATTTCAATTACTCTCTCCTGATATTTCAATTACTCTCCCCTGATATTCCAATTACTCCCCCCTGATATTCCAATCACTCTCCCCTCCCCTAATATTCCAATTAATCTCCCCTGATATTCCAATCACTCTCTCCTAATATTTCAATTACTCTCTCCTGATATTCCAATCAATCTCCCCTGATATTCCAATCACTCCCCCCTGATATTTCAATTACTCTCTCCTGATATTTCAATAACTCTCCCCTGCTATTTCAATAACTCTCCCCTGATATTCCAATCAATCTCCCCTGATATTTCAATCACTCTCCCCTAATATTTCAATTACTCTCCCCTGATATTCCAATCACTTTCCCCTGATATCCCAATCACTCTCCCCTAATATTTCAATTACTCTCCCCTGATATTCCAATCACTCCCCCCTGATATTTCAAATACTCTCCCCTGATATTTCAATTACTCTCTCCTGATATTTCAATTACTCTCCCCTGATATTTCAATTACTCTCTCCTGATATTTCAATTACTCTCCCCTGATATTACAATCACTCCCCTCTGATATTTCAATAACTCCCCTGATATATTTAAATTACTCTTTCCTGATATTTCAATTACTTTCCCCTGATATTCCAATCACTCCCTCTGATATTCCAATCACTCTCCCCTGATATTTCAATTACTCTCTCCTGATATTCCAATCACTCTCCCCTGATATTTCAATCACTCCCCCCTGATATTCCAATTATTCTCCCCTGATATTTCAATCACTCTCCTCTGATATTTCAATAACACTCCCCTGATATCTCAATCACTCCCCCCTGATATTTCAATAACTCTCCCCTGATATTTCAATAACTCTCTCCTGATATTCCAATCACTCTCCCCTGATATTTCAATCGCTCTCTCCTGATATTCCAATCACTCTCCCCTGATATTTCAATCACTCCCTCCTGATATTCCAATCCCTCTCCCCTGATATTTCAATAACTCTCTCCTGATATTCCAATCCCCCCCCCCTGATATTTCAATAACTCTTTCCTGATATTCCAATCACTCTCCCCTGATATTTCAATCACTCCCTCCTCATATTCCAATTATTCTCTCCTGATATTCCAATCACTCTCCCCTGATTTTTCAATAACTCTCTCCTGATATTCCAATCACTCCCCCCTGATATTTCAATAACTCTTTCCTGATATTCCAATCACTCTCCCCTGATATTTCAATCACTCCCTCCTGATATTCCAATTATTCTCTCCTGATATTCCAATCACTCTCCCCTGATATTTTATTTACGGTACTATTCTTCATACGTCAATGGCAGTGTGCTCTTACTGGACACATCTTAAGGTTCAAAAATCCCATTGAAAATGGTTTGGTCACTGTATGTTTAAAGACCCCAGTTCAGCATCGTATTAGATATGTGATGTGGATACATACTGTAAGTTATTAAAACGATACAGAAGGAATTTAGCTTCGTCTGAAATGAGGCATTATCGTTCATGTCTTCATATGGAAAAAATAATTCACTAACATTATAACATGTCATTCTGTTTTGAAACCAAATTGAATGACTCCTTGTCTAAAGTTCATTTGTATACCAGGAATAAGCAATACTAAGCATGCACTTATTCTAAGGAATCGTTGAATGAAGGTCGAGTTTCATTGATCAAAGAAACTAAAGCTGTTGTGCGGAAATGGTCTGCAGACGGACCGACGAAGTTTGGTTGACTTTTATAGTTACAGTAACTTTGAACTTAAACTTTTGGGCCTGAAGGGAAATCGCATACAACCTTTTTCGTAATAGACATTGTATGAAATATGAGGTTGATTGGCGCAAGGACATTTAAAGTTATTGTGTTTAAATGGTGGTTGAACGGACGGACAGTACGAACTTTAAGTTTGATTGGTTTTTATAGCAACAATGACCATTTAATCTTCGAACACGAGGGACAATGGAAACCAACCATTTTGGTTTGGTAATAGGCATTGCATGAAGTTTGATGTCGATCGGCCCGAGGGAACTTTCTGGGGCTACACATATGTAAGCTTTGTTATTAGCAAGAAGCTCCTCTTCTTCTTTTTCGTATTTTTAACTAAACTATCTACATTTCTTGTCCAGCGAGAAAACGACCCACGATTCAAGCGCCTGTGATAGCAACGCCATTTTTGGCAAGTTCACAATCGCTATAGTGATACATCACTTTATGCTGACACCATCCTACGTTTTCCACAGATATTCAGGATACAATAATCAATGATAAATAAACACACACACACACAAACGGGATAATTGTTTGAAAAATTTGGTCGTTAAAGGAAAAACAAGATATTCGTATGCATGGATTTTGTGTTATTAGGCACAGGGGTTCGGTTTAGGAATTTTGAGTAATATATGACGTAAAATGAAATAATTGCAATAACTCTTACACGTATACACATCAGTATATATAATAGCAACACTTTGTTTCCGGTGTTTATATACATTCTTAAACCTTAGTGGGTTTTTTTTTTTTTTGGTTTTTTTTTTTTAATAAACGGAAACAGAGAGTGATTGTAAATGGAACGTCGTTAGCAGAACACACAATCATAGTGGAATACCTCAAGGAAGTGTACTAGGTCCAATACTATTCGTCATATACATTAACGACCTACCGGAGTGCACATCTTCGCCAACATTTATGTTTGCTGATGACACTAAGTTGTACAGAACTATATCTGATGATATCGATGAAAACTTACTCCAAAATGATCTCTGCAGTTTGATGATATGGTCGGATAAATGGCTATTAAGTTTCAATCCTAAAAAGTGTAAAGTTATGACGATGTCAGCGAAACATAACAAGAGAGAACCACGATATCATCTAACGGACAAGAGAGGAGAAATTATAGCACTTGAAAACATTGCATCGGAGAAAGATTGAGGGGTTGCAGTAGAACAGGACTTGAGCTTTACAACACATATCCAACAAATAATAAATAAACGAAATTATTTGTATAGTTGGACGAAAAAAATGTTCAGCTTCTTAAAGAGCCTGTACGACCTCATATTTAGAGTACGCTGCGTGTGTTTGGAGTCCACACAAAATTCAGGACATCATAAGGAAAGAGAACGATCAAAGAATATCCACAAAACTATTTCCCGCATTTAGGACTATTAACTACAGCGAGAGACTACGCCGATTGAAGCCGCGGAGATATGATCAACGTGATCCGAATTTGGTGGTTGAGGGATTGTTCGATCTCGCCGCTCAAAGAAAAACTCGTGGACACAGTAAAATAATACGCAAACAACATTGTCATCCAAACATTAGAAAAAATACTTTACTCAAAGAATAAATAATGTCTGCGTCTACCAATTTCCTATTAAGTTTTAATTATTTTTTTAAATGCGTCACTGTGTAATTAGGGTTATGAAAAGGTTGGAGATTTCTATCAGTTCGCCTTGCAAAGCTGTATCAGGAAATTCCGCCACTTAGTTTGACGTACACTCCAAATTGCTACGTCATCAATTCCTACGTAAAATGATGACGTCTCATCATTTGTGTCCATCGGGGGGTCAAACGACCCGTTTCAAGTGACTGTAACTGTAAGTACACTCCATTTTTAGCGATTTTTACGATTTCGCCTCTTTTGAAATATATTTGAAACAACATATTTGGTGCACTAATTAGATTTTATTTAATGGACATTACTTTTACTTTTTTTAACCTAAAACGGCTCATTGACTCAATCATGCGTCGTCAAATGCGAAAATGATATTATAATGTCAAACAAATGATAGGATATTCCGATATAGCCGATGCTCAAAAAACATCCATTTTCAAACATCAATTTTTGAAAATCTGGTGTTGATGAGTGTACCAGGGAATCTGAGACTAACCTGAAAAGAAAATCCTTGCAGTCAAGGTTTAGAAAATGATGTAACGTTACCTTATTTTACGTTCACCCTATTTGTATTTTTACAGCGCTTCCCTCGCGCTCGTGGCGAAATGCCTCCGCAGAACGTTCAATCGAAGGGTTTGGATGTGACCGCCTGGACAAGCACAACGTCCGAACAGGTGGAAGAGGTCCGAGGAAAACTCAACCTCAAAGGTAGGTATCCACATAAACACAGTAAACTGTGGACCAATACCTTATTTTACTATTCACATCAGGGTAACTCCAAACAAACGTCCTGTAACTATTTATCCGGTCCGCGGTCTGGATAGGCAACTGCTAATTTTTAATTCTGCACAATATGTCAAGTAATTTTGGTAGGGTGGTCGGACGGTCCAATGGACAGTGCTTTCGCCGTGGTTCGATTTCTCGATCAGGTGTGGACCTGCATCCAAAGATCACCTGTCCGACCATATTGGTTTTATTCGGATCTTCTCATTTCCTCTCACATTAAAACCCTCTACAGGGAACAAAAAGCAGGGAACAAAAAGAGTAATTTACATAATTTGGCAAATATTGTTTAATCATTTTTGTGAAATAAAGTCGGTAGGGCGAAATCAAAGGAAATCAAAAGAAAAAGGTGGGAAATCTATATTGAAACCGGAGTAAAACATTTTATCATACTAAAAAAATGCTCATTGTTGAAACAACACTTACCTTTATCAATTATTTTCATTGTTTAGAACGCGACGCCAAAGCATTTTATGAAAGTTCTGAAGAAAAGAAGATTGAATTTGAACAACTGATCGCGAAACTTCGAGCCGAAAACAAATTAAAGCGTATTACCTTGGCAAAAAGCATCAATGTAAGTATGGGGTGAAAAAGGAAATTAAAGATTAGTTTCTAAATGTTAATAGGGTTACTAAGATAATCCCTTTTCATGTATAACCATCACGAAAAATACTTATAAATATCAAAATTAGATTGGTTCTATCACACAAAATTGATACCATAATAAACGGAGATCAAATATATCTTTAGAACTTGCAACAAAACAATTTTCAACTGATATTTTCAGTTTTTGAATTTTTGCAATTTTTCATGATAAATATTAATAAGGTATTTCACTGTAACGATGCAATGTTAACAAATGCAAAGTCTGCTTCAAAACATGAAAAAATGATTTTTTCCCCCCCAATAATTTTAGGGCGACAAGAAGGTCATACGCTCAGTATTCCAGAACAGACGGAAAGAACTTCTGTCTATGCAAAGATATACCGTTGCAGTAAGTATAAATGATTGACTCACACCGTGTCATTAAGTATAACTGACTCATACGGTGTAACCAAATAGGATTGACTCTTATCGTGACAGTAAGTATGATTGACTCCTGCTGCGACAGTTAGTATGATTGACTCATATCGCGTCAGTATAATTGACTCATACCGTGTCACTAGATATGATTGACTCATACCGTGTCATTAAGTATGACTGACTCCTGCTGTGACAGTTAGAACGATGTACCAAGTCACTGATAACGATTGACTCATATCGCGTCCGTGTAATTGACTCATTCACTGTCACTTAGTAGGATTGACTCATAACGCGTAAGCGTAATTGACTCAATACCATATCACTTAGTATGATCGACTCACACGGCGTCAGTGTAATTGACTCGTAACGTGTCACAACACATAATGCTTGACTCAATATGAGTCACAAAGTTTGATTGATTCACAACGATGATTGAATCTTCATATAACGTAGCAGTAAGAATAGATGACTAAACCATGATTCATAAACTTTTTATGACTTTATATGGTCCATTATGATCTGCTATTGCATCTTTTTGTCCTTTATAACTATCCTATTGCGTGTTTTTATTCCATCTCAACCTTGCCCTTGCTTTGACGTAATTGTGTCCATTTAATCTTTCTATGACGTTATTTCGTACATGCACTTCAAACCTCTAATGATGCGATTTTTTCTACTTAATCTACTAATCTTGATTTGATGTGATATTGTTTACTTGCTACGCTGTGACTACGCAGGAAGCCGTATGTACGATGGACCAAAAGGTGTGCGAGGCGAGCAAACGATTGAACGATCTGCAGTACCAACGCAACCAGCGCGAGAAACGCCTATGCGAGTTACGAGTCACAGCGAAACAAATAAAGACAATCTGTCACACCGACTACAACGTGGACAGGGAGGGGGTAAGAAATGTAATAAGACATCCCCGATATCCAGGGGTTACGCTCACGTTCGCTCTCTACACCCCTGTATGTATGTCATAGCAAAAATGAAGGCACGCGGCTAGCTATTTGATTGGTGTCAGATAAAAAAAAAAACCATGACCAATCACTAGTCTGACACTTGTCCTTTGAAGATTACACCCGACTTCAAATCCGATCATAGGCGTTGAAAATAGGCATTTGAATCCCTTTTCTTTTAAGTCTTTTAGACTAAACAAGTTCATTGAATATGATTCTTTGGCACAACGTTTCAATGGCACAGACATCTTTATCAAATGCCTTAATGTTTATGTCCATCACTAAGGAAGCTACCTTATGACGTCATAGATGTCATTTTGACGTCATAATTTCCCATACCAATTTCTTATTCCTTTTTATCACATACTTGTTGAATCTTGTTATAGTATTGCAATCAATTTTCAGACCATGAAATACAGCGTTCTGTATTGACCTACTACTAGCCGGAACTACTTTTTATGGGAATCCCCTTGTCATGGCGAACTGAAAAGTTCCCGGTATTTGCAAAAAATATTAAAGTTTATGAAATCTTTGTATCGATCTCTACCAAATACGGAAGGTATGTGATAAAAGCAAGACCACTATGCGCGGACGAATAATTACGTCTGCGCAATAAACTCGCGCATTCTGATTCGTTAGAAAAGCACAAGTGTGTGGTCTTGCATATTCAATTGGTTGAGGGTACCGTATTTGTTAATATGAAATCGCTCCCTCTCCCGCCTATATGTTACTCCGGGCTTCTAAACCATTTCTATTCCTACAATTTTGAGATCCGTTACTGTGTGCCCGTTGTTGTTGAAGTGTTCAAAGTAGCCAAAATTAAGTTGCATTTATTCTATATGTTTGGTTGGTTTAGGTTGATAATGCATTTTAACCAAAACGTTTTACGAAATGGTTATACAGACATTTTTGTGGGAATAAAAGTGCGTTTATATCGGCAGCCCGTTAGTCGATATCGTCCATCGGGAATGATTCGGGAATTTCCGTCATACTTTGAATGTTGACGTCACGTCATGGTTGGTCCCCCATTACTCTTACAGTATGACGGAGCAGTATGACGGAAAGACCCGAACAGTTACCGCTAGGGAAAAAAATCACATGCAGTATTTCTTTCTGTGTATGGCCTATCAGGACATTTTTGGTAGGAATGTTATGATGTTTACGTCACAATATCAATATATATCACAACATAATCATCAGTTCAGACCCCGGGATCTCATTATTTATGGTTTCATAATTCTTTGATGTGACGATAGTGACAATGCAGAACATATGTAAATATCTTCCATGACAAGATGTCCGCCGACTATAGAATAAGAGTATTTACATATTATTTGCAGGAGATCCGCCGATTACAAAATGAGATGGACAAGGCACGAATCAAGTACGAAGCGGCCCGCAACATTTCACGGCGATATGAAGAGATCATGATGCACATGCAAGAGGTATGGGAGAAAATTGAAACATATTCCTTTTACAAAATAAACACGTTATTATGGAATGTTTTCGGATAGACAGTACAATTTTTTTCGAAAGTTAACTCATCAATGTTTTAGATTATATAGCCAGAAAGCCAACACAATTTTCTGGCACGAAGAGACATGCGTTCAATTATGATACTAGGATCGGTCTCCGGGCCAAGCCATGCCCCTGGTGACTTAGTCCCATGCTACTAGCACCAGAATTTGTTTCGGGATCTGTCCCATCCCGTCCCAAGAAACTATACCTTAGTCACTGCAAAGAAATGGTTGAGATCCCATCCAGTAGCCATACATGCATGAAAACATCAATACAATTGTGGTAAAAGAATTTGTCCGTTGTTCAGCAAAACCCCGACTGTCTTTAAATTCCGTGTGTCATAACATGGGAACGGTTGAGATTCTTTTCCTATAACCTCGTATACTATTGCTAGGCATGAAGAAACAAACTCAATGATGTTAAAAGGATTGGCAATTGGTATTTGCCCTACACCGGGTGACTTAGTTCCTGGGTCATAACATGAAAACAGTCAAGATTCCTATCCTATCGCAATATGTAACAATTGCTAGGCATAGATAAACGAATACACCCCTGCTATCAGGAGTGGTTCAGGTCTTTGGACTCACACCTGTTTACTTTGTTCCATGATCACACAGGCAATTAACCACAAAAAAATCCAATTCTATTGGGTTCTCGGGACCTTGCTGTATACATAAATAGAAGGCTGGGCGGCAATGCCGGGAAAGCGGCGGGGAAGGGGTTGGGTGTTACCTTATCCTTAAAAGCCTACTCCCCTTGACCAGGTAATCGCATTTCAACCTTTGCTATGGAGTGTCCTTTGGAGCAGGAAATGAGATGTTTTATAGAGAGTGTTTTGTCCATTGGTACCGAGAGAAAGACTTCTAAAAGGGAAGTATTTGTAATATATAATTTGCCATGACTGAACGATACATGCCCAATACAAGACCTCTGGGAGTCTTGCTTAAGTTTCGGATGTAATTAATTATAGTTTAGAAGTGTGTATCTGCTAGTTAAATGTCTTTTTCTTTTTTCGCTAGAAACTATGAAATAATGGAATGAATCTTAACCTTTGCTTTTGTAGGAAGTACGGAATTACCCTGCCCGTCTGGACCTTCTAGAGCAAATCGTAGGGGACGCGAGTTCCGAACTCGGGGTATTACACCAGATGAACGAAAAGGCCATTAAAGCGAGCGAGGAGTCCAGGGTAGGTATATGTACAGTGCTGTAATAGGGCTCAAATAAGTGTGTGTAGTAAATGAAGCATTAATCGGAGAAGGTCAGCGGTATCGTTACAATCATGACGTCATGATAATGGTAACGTAATCACGTGGGTCATGGCAGCCATATATAGTCGATATACTACAATTATGTAGAACGGTTTTAATATATGTTCTATGGCACATGTGTAATTTAGAGGAGCTTGATGGAATATCTAAAAATTAGGAAACTTACCACAATGTTCTTTTCACGTCTTTGTAGAAGGACCTCCACGTTATGGAACGCGAGATGTACCAGGCTAAGCGGGCACGGGATATGCAGTTGAATGAAACGAGAAAAGAAGTAGAGAAGAGGAAAGAAACGGTTGAACGAGGCGAGAAACGAGTGAGTATAGGCGTCTATTGGTTAATCTGGTTGCCGATGAATCTGCAATGAGAAATTATATCGTTCTGAACATAACTTTTACAAATCTGCGGATAACTTTGTTTCCATTGTACTACGCAACTTCTAATATCTTTGTTTACTTTACAGGCTAAAGTTAATCTGATTGCCGATACGACAGGTAAGCTATTTTAGTGTAAGCAAAGAGATTCGGAAATAGATATATAAAGGCAATCATATGTGCATGAATCCGTTGATTTCACGGAGGTTTCGCTTTCGCTAAATACGTGACATGAGAAAATAATTAGCGAAATATCAACCCCACGAACTTGTTGCCGAACGTTCTGATACAGCTTTAATTAAGTCTATTTTATTTTAACAGTGCGAAGCGATTTTTTTACAAAACGCGAAAAAAAATGTCCATGTAAAATTAAAAGGATTAGTAATATATCAGACTGGTTTACATATGATTGTGTTGTCATAACGTTAACCCTATAGAAGAGAACAAAATCCTGAGGCAGAGAGACGCCTGTGTAGCTAAATTGTCTTTGGACTTTTCTTATCCACTTTCATAGTTTTTATTTATTTATTGTTGTTTTGTATTATTCTATATTATTTTAAGTCAGTGTCATATGAGAAAATCGATGTCTTTATAGAAACAGAATCTAAAACTAATTCTAGTTAAAAAATATATGTGCATAATAATGTACGATCAAATGTTTCTTACATTTGAATACGTATCGTGTCAAACGGCCATGAGTTTGAGATGCTGTATGGTTGGTTACTTGTAGACACAAAGGCAGCGCGCCTGCAACAAGAGAAGGCTGAGCGCCAGGAGAGGATTCTGGAGCTGGAAATAGGCTTCGAAAAGATCAAAAGTGCTATCAATGTGTCCGACATCGACGTAAGTAAACAACTATACAAAATAAGTGATGTCAATGGGTACGACATCGGCGTAAGTAAACAACGATACAAAATAAGTGATGTCAATGGGTCCGACATCGACGTAAGTAAACAACGATACAAAATAAGTGCTGTCAATGGGTCTGACCTCAACGTAAGTAAACAACGATACAAAATAAGTGATGTCAATGGGTTCGACATCTACGTAAGTAAACAACGATACAAAATAAGTGCTGTCAATGGGTCTGACCTCAACGTAAGTAAACAACGATACAAAATAAGTGATGTCAATGGGTCCGACATCGACGTAAGGAAACAACGATACAAAATAAGTGATGTCAATGTGTCCGACATCGACGTAAGTAAAGAACGATACAATAAGTGCTGTCAATGGGTCTGACATCGACGGAAGTAAACAACGATACAAAATAAGCGCTGTCAATGGGTCTGATATCGACTTAAGTAAACAACGATACAAAATAAGTGCTGTCAATGGACACGACATCGACGTAAGTAAACAACGATACAATAAGTGGTGTCAATGGGTCTGACATCGACTTAAGTAAACAACGATACAAAATAAGTGCTGTCAATGAGTCTGACATCGACTTAAACAAAAAACGATACAAAATAGGTGCTGTCAATGCATCTGACATCGACGTAAGTAAACAACGATACAATAACTGCTGTCAATGGGTCCGACATCGACGTAAGTAAACAACGATACAAAATAAGTGTTGTCAATGGGTCTGACATCGACGTAAGTAACTGTCAATGGGTCTGACATCGACGTAAGTAAACAACGATACAATAAGTGCTGTCAATGGGTCTGACATCGACGTAAGTAAACAACGATACAATAAGTGCTGTCAATGTGTCTGACATCAACTTAAGTAAACAACGATACAAAATAAGTGCTGCCAATGGGTCTGACATAGACTTAAGTAAACAACGATACAAAATAAGTGCTGCCAATGGGTCTGATATCGACGTAAGTAAACAACGATACAAAATAAGTGATGTCAATGGGTCCGACATCTACGTAAGTAAACAACGATACAAAATAAGTGCTGCCAATGGGTCTGACATAGACTTAAGTAAACAACGATACAAAATAAGTGATGTCAATGTGGCTGACATCGATGTAAGTAAACAACGATACAATGAGTGCTGTCAATGTGTCTAACATCGACGTAAGTAAACAACGATACAAAATAAGTGCTGTCAATGGGTCCGACATCGACGTAAGTAAACAACGATACAAAATAAGTGTTTTCAATGGGTCTGACATCGACCTAAGTAAACAACGATACAATGTCAATGGATCTGACATCGACGTAAGTAAACCCCGATACAAAATAAGTGTTTTCAATGGGTCTGACATCGACCTAAGTAAACAACGATACAATGTCAATGGATCTGACATCGACGTAAGTAAACCCCGATACAAAATAAGTGTTTTCAATGGGTCTGACATCGACCTAAGTAAACAACGATACAATGTCAATGGATCTGACATCGACGTAAGTAAACAACGATACAAAATAAGTGATGTCAATGGGTCCGACATCTACGTAAGTAAACAACGATACAAAATAAGTGCTGCCAATGGGTCTGACATCAACTTAAGTAAACAACGATACAAAATAAGTGCTGCCAATGGGTCTGACATCAACTTAAGTAAACAACGATACAAAATAAGTGATGTCAATGTGTCTGATATCGTAAGTAAACAACGATACAAAATAAGTGATGTCAATGTGTCTGATATCGTAAGTAAACAACGATACAAAATAAGTGATGTCAATGGGTCCAACATCGACGTAAGTAAACAACGATACAAAATAAGTGATGTCAATGCATCTGACATCGACGTAAGTAAACAACGATACAATGAGTGCTGTCAATGGGTCCGACATCGACGTAAGTAAACAACGATACAAAATAAGTGCTGTCAATGGGTCTGACATCGAC